AGACGTAATTCCACGTGCTTTTGAGGTCGGTTTTTTTAGTACTCTGTACTGAGATTATTGGAAAGGTTATAGTAGACCCCAGGGCAATCGACGGTGCCGTTTACTATGTTAGTTAGGTAGTTAGTATGCGAGACTATTTCCTAAATCTAAGTACATACATGTAAGTTATTGTAGAAGTAGCATTGTTTAAATTTCTGTACTGTTCACCTTCGATGTTAGGTACAAGCAACGGAAAGCAAATCATTATAATATCAAAACACGTCTAGACCAAGTACAGGACAAGGTCCGTTATAGCATTAAAATTGCAAATGTCCTAGCAGCTTGTTATTTGTGTATCCTTTGCCGTCACGTGAGAAGAGTCACTTGAACTTCCCCACTCGAGAAATATGAGGAGGGAGGTATAGTCAGCAAGTACAGGCATTGGAAATTAAACCAATTTAAAACATTTTGACATTCAATAAACTTAATATTACAATTATTAAAACGACATCTCTAGTTAGTCGCTGGTAGACTTTGTACTTTGGACCGTTCTTATCATAAACGGCACAGAGTTGGATTTAAATTTTAAGTGTCAATCTTGACGTGCTCTTGACCCTGTACCTGGCTGAGTGAAAAAAAAACTTTAATACATGTCTCACAGATGGCGCTATGGCAAAAAGTCATTAAAAACCAAAAACAAAGATATGCAGCCCCACGTTTGCTATTTATTATTAAATATCTATTTTTAAATAATCTCAGTTGTGTGCCGATAGTGTCAATGACAGGAATTGGTACGTTTGGTATGTTAAAAGTTGACTAGCGGTTTATAACTGCCTCTGTGGCCCAACGGTTACCATGCCGGACTGCCACGCAGAGGTCCCAGGTTCGATCCCGGGCCGGGAGAAATATTTGTATGACCTACATTTATTTCTCTCGTGAGTTTGGGTGTAATTTGTGGTTGTCTATGTGTGTGTCCATGGCACCGGCGCCACAGGGTTGCCCTAGTGCGGGCAATGTTGAGTGTGTGAGTTATTATTATTATCAGCGGCAAGTTCGACTGTCATTACTATTTTTATTCTGCTCTTCAGTAGCGTAGTGGCACGTTGATGGTGTAGTCTACTAATTATTTTTTACAATAAGATCTCGAGGAGCATAATTATATCGCACTGCTATTACAATAGTGTTGTAACTCAAAATATGTGAAATTCAAGATTATACTACAGCTGAACGTAAAATTTGATTCTCCTCAAGTCAATAAAACCGTCGTTTAAGTATTGCAAGAAACAATTAAAATAATTGTATCTATTTAACTCAAAATGAGACATTTTTTTTTGTGGGCTATTTCTGGACAAAACACCTTACTAAAAATACGAAATTATGTTACCCTTTTATTTTTAAATATCATATTTCGGATGTCTGTAATAAACTTTAAACTATAAATAAGTTTTAATAATATTTCTCGACAATTCTTTTGTCATCGATTCTGAGAAAATACACTTTTTGAGTTAATGCATTATTGTATTAACAGTGTGAATATTAAGATTACCATTTCCTAAGTTTAAAACTTACATTAAAAGTATTTTATTTGAAACGTCGTATTACAAAATGTAGACATGTTAGATAAAGATGTATGGAAAGACAACATGAGTGCAGATTCCACACAAATATAATTCAAAATGTATTTTCTAGCATTTAAGTTTGCTACAAAAGAGCAATCCCTCGACTTTCTTGCTCGTACTTCTAAGCGTAGTGAACGAGCAGTAGCTTAAAAATAACGTTTACAAGTGTAAAAATTTTACCTATGGAATCATTGACTTACAATTATATAGACGTCGGGTCCGCGCTAAAAAGTGTCCGCACTTGTAAGGCGCTAAAATCGTATACAGAGTTTGGCACTCCGCTTTAGTCTTCATTTGTTCGACTGACAGCGCGATACTGCGATGACATTACAATTTAAATTTCGAATAGGTTGACTTGGGACATTTTTTTCGTGGTTTTTGTATTAGACCCGTCGTCCATTTATTTGTAAGTCAATGTATGGAATAAATGATTATTTGATTTTGACTAACTTGCTGATTAAACAAGATAAAAATAAGATATGCATAGTAATTTCTTTGGTAATTTTAATAACGCAACAGCGATCGTTAGTGATCGAATGAATTAATGCCATCACTGCCTTTCCACTGAGTCCACTTTTGTTTGTTTTCTTTTTTGCACACACTCGTAGTCCAGCACTAGGGAAACCCTTTACCTCGGGTGCCATAGACACACACATAGACAACCACATATTACACCCAAACTCACGAGAGAAGTGTCTAAATGTAGGCCATACAAATATTTCTTCCGCCCCGGGAATGGAACCCGAGACCTCTGCGTGGCAGTCCAGCATGGTAACCATTCGGCCACAGAGGCAGTTAAAACTAATTACCACTGACACTGTATTGAGGCTCAACTGCTATTGCAACTAGATTTTAGCAGAAAAGTAAATATTATCATAATTGCAATACAATCCAACCCTAAAACGAACTTTCCTCTCAGTTTTTAAAGGTAGTTGGAAGAAATCCCTTTAAGGGATGAGCTCGCTTTGTATACTAATATTTTAAATTGTTTCATAAAATTTGTAATTTATTTTGTTTAAATAAATGAAGAATTACAATGACCAGTGGTTTCAGTGGGCCCTGCTGGTTCGTTCCGTAGCTCAGTTGGGAGAGCGTCAGGCAGGGTAATCTGAAGGCCCTGGTTCGAATCCAGCCCGATCGTCATCAAACATCAATATTCAATAAACGTAATATAAACCTTTTTTTTGGAAAGCGTATATTTGTTTTATCAAACCTGACTCAGATCCGGAAGAATACTTTCATTTTCAATGCGTAGCCATTGACAAAACGTAATTCGATAAGAAAAAGCCAGGGCCGGATTAGTCCATGTGCCACTTGGGTACCATCGTAAATCCTAAAAATTGGATTAGAAAAAACGTAAAAAAGAGGCAGTGATCGTAAACCTTTCTTCCCTCACAAGAAAGGAAAATCTCGTCAGAATTGATGACAAACTTTTTTTTTAATATCAGGTAGAAGGACATTTTGGATGTTTTATCGGTCGCCATACTATTCAGTCATTTTGTAACAAAGTAAGTTTTTAAAAACCGTAAAACAAAATGCTTTTTCTTATTTGTAGCATTTACTAAAGAGCCAATAAAAATTTGTCTGTCCTTACAAACTTAATCTATTTCAAAGACTTACACTATAAGAAACTTAAAGAAACAAGGTTCCAAACAGTAAATGCATACTTTTTATAAAATAATAACGTATTATCGGTTACCTATCAGTAGTCTGAAATGACATTTGCCAGAAATAACGTTTGGTCGAAATTTCATAACCTCGAAAGTAATTTTGCGAGGAAAATGGATTTTTCTTTTAAACCTAACTTAATCTAACCTAACCGAACCTAATCGTGTCTTTGCGATAAACATTCAAAATATCCTGAAACAACAACTTTTTCGTTATATTAGCGTGTCATTTGTAAATGTCATTTAATACAAATTTTTACGATGTTTTCCTTTACTGTTATTTTTGTCTGACGAAAATGATTTACGACCACTAACTTCTCAGTTTTTCTAATCTTAAAAAAACAAACAATGTTATAGATACTTTTCATTTCCTGTGCGCGCGTCTTTTATATAATGTGCCCCATTTTTATAAATAATAATTAACCACACTAATATAAGTCTATTTTATTCCGCCTGGTTAAAAAATATTTATTTTGCTGTCTGTGCAAAAGCGCGCGGTGTGGCACTAAAAATAAGCAACGAGAACCCTTTAGCGAGCTTGTTTTGTTTCTTGACATGAGTTGATTTCGCCAAGCCGGCACAACAGCTTGCGTTTATTTTGTAAAATGCCAGCATTCTAAAAGATACATTCCTTTGTAAACAATAGGATTGATTATAGGTTGAATTGAGATTTTAAATTATGTACTTACCTGCACTTGTAGTAATGTTTTTTATTTTTGTTTTATAGCCTTTACTAATGATAACTTACATACTAACTTATCTAGCACAGAAATATTCTAAGATCTAAATATATTTGGTTTATCAAACAAACAACGTTCAGTCAGCCGTGATCTTGTTAAAAGCCTGCAGTGTCCATGGACAGTACCGTAAGTATTTATATTACAGTATTTACCGTAACATTATTTTTTTTATAATGTCAAGTGACGAGACGAACACGTTTGCCTGGTGGTAAGCGACACGCCTGTCCATAACAGTTGCAGTGCCGTTCAGAGTTTTAAATCGCAAAGATCTGAGGGGCAGGGCCACTGCGCCCGTCACCCTGAGACATAGGTTGACAAGAAGTCACGCATCTGTGATTTCACCAGCACCCTTTTTAAACCGGAAACGTTATATCGGACACATTACACCTTGGCGGCAGAAATAGGTGCGGTAGCAATACTTATCTGGACGCCTACATTCGCAAGGAGCTTTGCTGGTACTAAAACGCTTGGCGGCAGAAAAAAATATAGTATGACTGCAATGCGTAGCTAGAAGGATAAAATAGTGGTTTAGTATACGTGATGCTAGCGAAGTTTGCCATCATCGTGTATAGTCTCTGCCTTCAATAATGGAAACCCAGACTCATGTGTATGTATTAGGATATCTCGATGTCAAATAACAGTAGTTTTAAGAGTTGTTTCAGAAATTCCTGATTGGCTTTGATCTGGGCGTGTTCCACTAAATAGTTTCAGTTATTTAATGAGGAAAGTTAATTCACCTAAGTGCGAAGAGTGTGACCGCGTAGAGAACGTATACCGTGTGATGTCGAAATGTGTACGGGTCGAAGCAGAAAGGAGCCAGTTCTTTATGCGGTTCCTCATTCTTGAATCAGTATATATATAAATTAGTAGCCAAATTAAACAATGTAGAGCAGAACGATAGGGGTGGCATATTTACTGTGTGAAAAAACCCTTTTACATTTAAAATAAAGAGAAAAGAAATCCTAATAAATGTAATCGTATAATGTTGTTCGCAGATATGCAATCCAGTCAAATGGAGCTGAGAACGTGCTGCTTAGCCCGCAGAGTCTGTTGTCCTGCGACAGAAGAGGTCAGCTGGGCTGCAAAGGAGGACACGTCGATGGTGCTTGGCATTTCACATCCAAATATGGGTAAGTTTGTGACAATGCTGACCTCCTTATCGTCATCCCATGTTTTTCCCCACTGGTTCCTGGCCAGTTACTTTTACAATTTTGAATTGTTCTCGAATTCCTTTTTCTTCCATTATTCTTACATTGTTCCGTCATCACTTTCATCAAAACTTTCAAAGCGAGAGGAAGTGCTTATTAATCATGATGTAAAACCATTGCACATAATTTTTTAAGCATTGGATACGTATATAGGCCCTCTTGGGGGAAGAGAACCACACTCCAGCTGCAATTCCTCAAGCAATGGCAGTAAAAACACCATAATATTCAATAAAAATAAATAACAGGGATATTTCTAAGCGCTTGCCAAAAAGATTACACTATCAATTTCAACGTCACAATACAAGGATTTTTGCAGGCGTTCTAATAAAAAGACACATTGTTTTTCTTTGCAGTCTAGTTGATTTAGACTGCTTCCCCTACACGGCATCGGTGACGAACTGCCCCTACTCTATCCAAGGGTCCCTGCTTCAGGCTGGCTGCAGACCATTAGTGTCAACCCGTATCTCCAAATACCGGACCAGTGTGCCGTATAAAATAGAGAAGGAGCATGATGTTATGTGGGATATTATGGAATCTGGACCAATTATGGGTAAGTTATGCATCAATCTATACAGCTATTTGTAAAATATTAACAACTTCGCAGGACCATATTATTAACATCATGAACAATAACTTTTGTTCCACGACTTTTTGCAAAACATTATATATTTATCAAAAATAATTTGTTGTACTGTCTGATGCTTTTTAAATCTGTATTTGGTAGTAGGTAAGATGCAAATTCTAAAGCACAAGTGTCTCCTCCCACCCCCACTAGTTCTTTCTTTTGTTACCACACTTATTACCGTTTACAGCACTGAACAATAAATACAGTAGTTGTGTTTAGTTTTCGTGGTACGTGTGCCAACAGTACGCGAAATTACACATACATAAGCTCGGCCCGCCGTTTTCGCTTTACACGTTATGGTCGCGCAAAACGTCGAAAATCGTAGAATTATGCCTTATTTTGCTAGTCTGTAGTGCAAAAACTATAGTCACACTTGTAATATTATCCATGGTGGTATTTCATGTCATCATTACGTCTTATATTATTTAATTTCTTTAAATTTTCAGTTTATCGTAATAAAGTTTTTGTTACAAGAAACGAAAGTAAACATTATACCGTTGCGATATAGTCGCTTCTTTTTTGGAGAACTATGTAAAAGCTCTGAAATTAATTGGCGTCTCTCTTCATCTCCACTTAACCCCGCTACAAACCGTATAAATTCCAAGAAATCATTGGATTTAAGGAACACTATGATGCACTGTTCATTTTATCAAATTGGCCTTTTAGTACATGGGTACTTTACATATTTTCAACGGTTGAGCATTGATAACTAAATCATATAGATGACCAAAATAGTACCTACATTCTTTGTGCAGATTTATTATTTACGTCTTAGAATGCTTCTTTGAGTACAAAAAGAGTTACTACGGAGTATTATACTCCGTCCAACTTTTTATTTAACTTTTGACAACTCGAATTCTAATCAATTAGTGATGTCCTAATGTGTTTCCGACTCGATTTTTTATAACAATCAATTTTATTTATGAAGAAGTGTTAATCATGAACGGGAGCAAGTTCCAAAAAGAATGTATTGTCTGATTAGCATCGTGATATTCCGTTTGACAATTTGTGTGCTCAAGAATTAATAATTAATGTTAATGGGGATTCAAGTGATGACTCCCGTTCATATGGAGGAGAATCCGACGATTCATTATAATAAACAATAAGAATTTATTATAATTATTTATCATTTATTTAATTTCATTATAATTTATTACACAAATACCAACTTGAATAATCTTCGTTACATAATCTGTTGGCTCTATACATATCGGAGCTAAAGAGCATGTCGCTTCACTAAGATCAAAAAATAAAAGAGTCCAGGAAATATTGCATTTTTTTGTCTATGGTTGAATGTCAATAATTACGGAACTTCGGAGGCATGTATATGTTAAAAGTTAAATAAATGATAGGACGGAGTATAACAACACGGAATCTCCTTCTTCAATCAGAAAAAACTTTATACTCATGCAATAAAACCGAAAAAGACGCTGCACATTTTTCTTGGACAGCCAATGCGCACAATCTTCAATCAAGTCTTTTTCTAACAGTCTTAATGTGAATTGGTATCAATACTTAATACAATTCAGTATCGACAATAGTGATAAGTAACTTAACTCCGATACACTGAAATTAATTCGAGATCAAAAATATATTTCAAAAACACGACATCCCTGATTTACGGTGCGTGCAACTTTAGGCCGGCAAAATAAGTATAAAAATCCATTACTTACTTTTAATTCAGTTCTTTTTGGCAGATATTTTCTGTCTCTGTGTGACCGTTGCTGAACTTAGTTTTTAGTTTTGACAGAACATCAAGTCTAGGGACTTCGAGTCCAGTCGAGTTTCGAGTCCAACCGGACCCAAGGAATATTTCTGTGTTTGCTCAACAAGATATTTCCGACGATATTCAGTAACAGGTTGATTAAAAACCAAATGGCTTGTCTATTATGTGTGTGTGTAAACACTTATTGTACAACAAAAACAAATTACAATTTTTTCAACAAAGAAATAGAACGGTATTGTCCAAAAGCGAGCCTATCCCATAAAGGGATTTCTTCCAGCTAACCTTTGAATAATTGAAAGGAATGTTGTTTCCTGGGCATCTCTGAAAGCCCGAACCGAAGGTATTGGAAACACTCAGGAGATAACGAGAAGAAGAGGGATGGCAAAGGATTTTATATAGGAAATATAAAACGTGGGCATTTCTACGGAAATGGATAGGCAGCAACTTCAGCTCATCTCTGAACTTAGAAGTTTGATCGTACTTTTTCAAGCTGAACACAAATCTAATCCACTGGTTTTGAAGCCGCTCGAACTTGTTAAGAAGGTCCTCCGAAAGATCAAGGTAGGGGACGTGCCCATAGTCCAAAAGAGGAAGAAGATGAGTACGTATGAGCATAAAGTTGGTAGAGAGAGAAAGAAAGTACTGCAACCGTATGAGGGAATGCCGTGATCATGATTAATTGCAATTATCAATGAAATAGTTTTTTTAATACCGTTGCTCAAAACGTAGTATTTTTCGTACTACAAATTGTGCCGAAAGTTGGATTTTTCGCACTAGTGCTTTTTACTTTTCCATTTTTTTTTTAATTTACTGTTGTTTCAAGTCTTAAACATAGAACTAAAGAGGTTGTATGTTTATTTAATACTTATGTGCTTTGTGACGTAAGTCATTCGTCATTAAAACTTATATTTACTTACTTACAAATATCTTATTTGTTTAAATTGCATAGGTGTTTCATGAAACAACGGGTTACGTTTAAAAATACCAAATTATTTTGCATAAAGATGGCTGATTGAGTATTAACAATGACCGGAGGTGAGCATTACGCGAGACTATAATAAAATAGTAATTTTAATGTGGCTGAATACTGATAATGATAATGATAATGATAATGATAATGATAATGATAAATTTATTCGCAGTAAGTGTGGTTTACATAGATGTTACACATTCATACAATAGATTCACACACTTAGCTGGTTACAGCATGCAAATTTATATTAAATTAATTGAAAATAAAAAGTTAATGTCAACAAATAATACATTTCAATTGTCTACAACACAATTTTGCGGTCAAAGTATTCTTGAACGGAATAAAAACAAGAGTCAGCCAACCATCGGGATAACCTTCTGCGGAAGCCAGCACCAGTCATGTTTTTAAATTCAGGCGGTAAGGAATTATAAATTTTTACACACATAGGAAAACAATTACGCTGATACACTTCCTTTTTTATTTTTACTGGTACAGTAAGTCTGTCTGGAAACCTTGTGTTGAATGAAGGCTCATGACGCTTGAACAAAGAAGGGTTTTGTTTTACGAAATCACATACCTTTAAAATATACAAGCTAGGAACTGTCAGTACATTTAATTTCTTAAACAGAGGTCTGCATGAAGTCAAACGTGACACGTTGCAAATTGATCGAATGCAGCGTTTCTGAGAAATTAGGACCCTTCCACTGGCAACAGTTGCCATTGTACTCTGAATTTATAACAAACAAAGAAATAAAATGAGTTTTTTTAAAATACTGTTTTATTTTACTTTCACGTTTTACATTTTTTTTTACATTTTACGTTTTTTCGCAAATTTATTAAAAAACGTCGTTTGATACACGTGCGGATTTGTCATTTGCCTCGAGACTCGTGCATAACGACTAAATTTCCGCACTTGTATCAAAAATAACTATTTTATTATTATTATTACGTTTTACATAACAACAATTGACTAATTTGGTAGGCATTGCTAGGCAACTTGCTTTTGAATATCGTTAGAAAAATCTTGTTGATATTGTCCCGTGTGCAGCGCGACAGAAGTTTCGTAATCTCTTACTCCCGCACCGTACCCAGTTAAGCGGTAGGCTTGTCGAGAAAAACGTACGTTTTACTTGATTACGACAAAACTGATAGATACAACAGCGAATAATTAGATGAAATCTTTCACGACTTATTTTTTATGATTTCAGCAATAATGACTGTATACCAGGACTTCTTCCATTACCGCGACGGGATCTACCGCCGCAGTAACTTCGGTGATAACACAATGTCTGGTTTGCATAGTGTTAAGATCATTGGTTGGGGTGTCGAAAGAGGCCAGAAATATTGGGTAAGTTGACAATTCGTTCACATTCCTTATATAAATCAGAGGTTCCCAAATTTTTAGACCCCCTGCCTTTCGAATACGGATTACGTACATACATACGGCTATAGTGTGTGCGTTACTATTATTATTATACCTATATGGACGCCGCAAGTGTACCTACTTACTTCGCGTGCCCAATGTTAATATAAAAACGCTTAGTTGCCGCTGCTACGCTTCAAAACGCGTCCGGCTATTATCGTAGTTAAACAACAGTCGAAAACGCGAAAAATACCTAATTGTGCTTTTAGAAATGCCACAGCTGTGAATAGATGAATAAACAGGGCCGTTATTTTTATCTGAACTTCAACATGTATGTTTTCAAACTAAACCTAAAATAAAAAGTTAAATAACCGACCTGGGGGGCCTACAATAACCTTTTAAAAATCAATCTATTTCAATGTAAGCTTATTCTAATACTACTTACTCATATTCGTACCATGACAAACCTATCAACCAAATAATGTAAGTATATTATTGCTAAATTGACTGAAAGAACGAATGAGTTCCCAATATTATCTATTCCTTACTAAAATAGGAAAGAAACAACGGTATAATTACGAACTGTGTAATGCCATCTCTTTCTTTTTTGATGTTACGAATTGTCATATCGTAAATAGTATAATGATAAAGTATACTTAGGTATTATTTACATTCAGAGAATTTTGACTGCCAAAAAAAGTGCGTAATAATGAAATTTATTAATATTACGTTGTTTTCAATTATTTTTTCGTATTTTGATGAAGAAAAATAAATAAAACCTAAAAAAACATAAAACGATGCGACGTAAAAATTTACGACACGACATCGCAACGTGTCACGACGTCGTATCATAGAACATTGAGGTGGATTATTTAATAACCCTAATCGAGGAGCGTCCTGTACTATAGGACAAAACATCAGAAGAATACAAAGTCATCTTTGAATATTGAATAGCAAACGAATGTGGCACAGGGGAGCGCACCGTGAATTTCTACGATACGACGTCGTGTCGTGAATTTTTACGTTGCTCGTCGTAGATTTCCACGACATGACGTCGCATCGTGAAACGATGCCGCGTCGTAGCACGACGCGATGTCGTATCGTGTTTATGTGTAAGAGTCATGACTCAACCTTATCATTCAAGAGAAAAATGGGTAATAACAAAAATAAAGCCCGGCCGGGGCGCACGGTGAAAACGACACGGCACTGTGACGGCCCGGACACGACACGGTGTAACGTGAATCAACCATTACATTTACCTAATATCTCACCACAGTTTTGTTTTTATAGCTATATTTGTATCTATAAAATCGTAACAATAATATACCTACTTAAATTACTTTTCTTCATCTAAATTGTGCTGCTCATAGTAGTTCCTGCTGAAGAAGAAGAAAAATATATTCTGAGGAGATTTTGAGTGAGCAACCTTCGGAAGACTGTCGGCTTGGTATACCTAAACTTATCGCAGCTTCATTTTTGTAGCTACGACCATTATCATCGAAATTTCAACTAAGTTGTTATAAGGTAATTAAGGGACATTATTGTTCGTCACCGAAAACTCCCCTTTCTTGCCGTCCTGTCAATGTGCGCCGAGCCTTAGACGTCTGTTTCCCATTCTATTTCTAAAAATATGTTTTTTCCTATTTTTCAACAGCTCGTAGCGAACAGTTGGGGAAATAATTGGGGCGAAGACGGTTACTTCCGCATCGCACGTGGAAACAACGAATGCGACATCGAGCGCTCCTTAATCAGCGGATTCAGTGACGTCAACGAAGCGAGGAAGAAATAACATAGAGACGTACTGGTTTGGCCATTGTGCGTGACCACGAAGATCGTGAGAACGGGAAAGGGTATATTTCTTATTAATGGGACAAGAAATTTTGGATAGTTTTTATAATTGGTTTGTTTGTTAATAGATCAGTGCAGTTCCAAAAATTAGGAACATTCCTTGTATAGTAGGAATTATTTGATACATCCGAATCCATTTCAGTGTTTATCTTTTAACCAATGGCATTGTATTCATTGTTAGGGAAATATAATATTTGGTTTAAATAGCAACTTTACTGTCAAAGATAGAAGATTCAATTTGGAATGGTCATTCAATTAACTGTAGGGTATAGTGGCGCGCAACGTATTGGTACTTGTTATGAACAATATGTGTTTGCAGTTTTTCGGTGTAATTTATTGACGAGAAGCGAGAATATCTCTCGCTTCTATGTCGGTCTCGCCCAATCCGCACCCTGTTGTGCTAGCCCTACTGATCAACTTTCATAAATAGATAATGGTGGAGGTAAACGAGTAAGTATGCCTCAGGTACGCGTTAGAGCAAACCGTCTCAGTACCTAGTGCTTTCTCGTACTGTGTCCTCGCCTCGGCCGAGCCATGTCTAATCATCTCTTGAAAAAACAAACTTCAAATAATAGTTTATATGTATACGAGAATCGCGTGTATAGTTACTTTTTTTTAAAATAAAAATTAAATAAAAAATACCAAGTATCAACACGTTGCGGGTCGGCTGGCACGTGGCTTAACAATGAATACAATGACATTGTTTAAAAGATAAACGGACAAGTTGATTCGGATTTTTCGAATAATTTATATTATGTATAAATTTCATGAGATTTAGCAAAACGCTTGATAATTTTCGGTGTATTGATAAAAAGGACGAATGATATATTATTGGTGCCACTAATATATCATTCGCTAATAACTTCAACGTATTCCACTCCACCCCTAGTATACAAATATGGTTTATTAGCAAGTTGAAGCAACTCATTATAATAAACATGTCGACACTGGAAAAATAAAATGTCTAACCTCCGAAATCAAGTCCGAAGAAAAAAATCATATCTGTAATTTTATTTGTTATATGAAAAAGCTGAAACTTTATAGATTTCCATAAAACAAATAAAATTAGAGTTATGATTTTTTTTAAATAATTTTAAATCGCTCTCCTTTTGTATTTTCCAAATGCACGTTACATATTTTATCTTTCCGGTGGTACAGAGGCACGATCAGCTTGACATTTCAAATTTAAAATAACAATCTATCAATGAGTTCCAGGTCTTGACTGTACGTGTATAACCAATTAATTGAGTTTGCTGATAGCTGTAGTCTTAAAAATTACTACACTGTCAAATTTTTATATAGGTACCCACAACCGGGTTTTAATTAAAAAAAAATCAATGCAAAATGTTATTTAGAGTGCGATCTCTTCGTTTAGTTATTAGGAAATAAACAAAATTGCTTTGAAAATTTTATCGAATTTTCAATACATTACATAGTTTTAATTTAGCGTTATATTATAACCCCACCTAACATATCCTAAAAGCACTTTTTGTATTATATTATGACGGAAATGTTACGCCATATTGCATGCGCGTGCAATCAGAAATCGTAAACAATTATAACACGAAACTCATTTGATTGGCTGATATTTCAACTTAAATATTAAGAACTCCAGATCTAAAATTTTCAAAGCCGTCTAAGGTTTCTAGTAAGAACAAGTACACGAATAGAATGTAACTGAAATATTTATCTCTTTCTTTGATAAAGCCATGTAATGAAAAAAAGTGTTGGAAATAATAATTTTATTGCACATTGTTCATTAATTGAATGTTATATACAGAACGTTATAAATACAAAAGTTATCTATGCGAACTATATTGTCTTTTTTGAAGACGGAGTAAAATGACAATTCATGTGTTGCCCGCTTGCGCGCAGCTAGTGCTTGCTGTCGATAAATATTTTGTCGACTGAATATTGGTCATACTTACGAAATAAACAGCCGAACTTGTTTCATTCGTATCTTCCTCGACCCATTATTCATCCAATTACTGAGGACAATTTAATTTGTAAGTCCATATATACATACACACTATATTTAGAACTATGTTTATGAAAAATACAAAGAGGATACATATTTTAAAGTTTTTCATTTTAATTCAATATAGATAATCAAATCCGGCTATTCTTGTTAAAATGTATATGAATAAAAAATTGATCTCGATACTAGTAGGCCAACTGTCAAAATAATAATAAAGAAGGCAATAACGCAATTAGTAATAATTAGAACATCGTAACATTCATAATTCGGTCATCTTTGGCAAAATATTGTTCTTTTACAATCTATCGATAAAATTATCGACAATAACTACATAACTAATTAAAATTTTATGAAAACTGGCAACCGTACAAATGTCATTTTACTCCGTTTTTAAAAATACTTAATATATAATCTTTATTCAGTATTGTTCAAAATAGCTTTTCCGCAACGGACAGGAGCATTTCGCATACTAATTTAGTAAAGTCAATAGTTTATTAATAAAACCGAAGGGGGTCAGAGCAAAAACCGGTATTCTTTTTTATTGAAATTATTAATATCACTGTAAAATACAGGGTGAAGTATTGACGTTACTGCGTTAACTATAATAATGCTATTATTAGGTTAAATATAAAATTAACAGATTTTGCTGATCCCCTCGGTTACAATTAGATGGCCCACTGCCACTAATACACGTTTTTATTCAGTGAGGCCTTCGAATTACTGTAACAGTATTGCTGTAGGTGAGAAGTAAAGAACCTTACGTGCCAAATACTAATTTTTACTACAAAACGTTTTAAAGACGATGAGGCTCTTAATTAGGCATTTATAATTAGTCATAAGGCCAAATAAAATATGTTAAATAAGAAACAAACGACGATAAAACTTAATGTCTATTACCATTTCGTGATTTTTAGCATTCTAAAGTAATGTTTGTAAAAAAATTCAAAATACAGACTTATAGTCCTTTACTTCCCACCTACAGATTTAATTACTACTTAAAAAAAAATTTATGTGACCACAATATTTGTAATGTAACATACTTAGGTATTTTGCAATAACATGAGCCGCCCCTCTAAAGGAGTCACACACTTATAAATGCGGAATCAGATTAAGCTGGTTCAAACCGGTTCATACCGGTGACTCCTTGAAAAAAAAACAGGTAAATATTTGAGCATGTGTACCATAGATAATACAATTATTAGTTGACAATGATTCCGTTAAAATGAAGTCAAGTGAAAATTGGCACGAGATACACGCTAGCCTAGAAGTTGAAGACAAAACTATACAGCGATGCTTTTCAAGAAGTGTCACAATCCAAAATAGTTACTTTTTTTGATTTTATTATTACTGAGATTTGTTCAGAATTATCTAAACTTTATTGTAAATGGGACACTAGGATTTTCATTTGTTAAAATAATGACATGGCAATGCTGGGATAATTTACATGTCAATGCACGACAGATGTACGTGTTTATTTAAAACCATCTTCTTACTGAATGAGGTGCTTTCAAAATAGGCCACTATTCTAGAAAGCTATCGATATACAAAAGAAATACTAATAAAAAGATCTAATGTGGAGTACCTACCTGCACCGTCAGCACAAAAGTCACTGGACGACTAGAGTCTTTTATATGGCGACGTAGATAAATAAGAAAAGTATGGCGTTTGACAAGGAGGATCCGATTTATAATTTTTTTTAATTTCTTTGGTTAACGTGTTCAGTATTTTGCCCTGTGGTGATTTTGGCTAATCTGGCGCTCATACTATACTGAATTCTCTAGATCAGATAATGGTTTAATTTCAAAAAATTCAAATGCTTTCAAAAAACACTGTTCAGGAATTTAGATAGGCGGATCATGTCATCCTATATATCGCATACGATACCAAATTTTTAAAATATAATATGAAGCGAAGAGACGAACAAGTCGTGCAAGCCTCAAGCCTGGTGGTAAGATACACCTCTGTCCATGACAGTTGCAATGCCACTCATTTTCAAACTGTGTCATTTTTTTCATTTCAAAATTTTAAGTTACGACAGTATTTGGTTACATGTGCGATATCCTTCCTATACAATATCCTTCTCAAATAAATATAAAATTATGATAAAATATTCTTATGAAATCAAACAAATCGTCATTCTCCTGACTACCTTCTGCATTTGACATTTTTGTTGCATCAAATTCTTAAGTTTTCGAGATTATTACATATTGGAAATAAAATTTGTTTTTCGTATCCAAATAGCGTATATTATTTGTTTTTTCAAACAAACCAGTGTTTCGGGTTGTTCACAGGTCCCATGATCATAGTTTGTTTAGAAAAACAAATATACGCGAAAAAATAGACTCTGTTTCAATTTTTGTTGTGATTTAGGAAGAGTTTTACACCACGAACTTAGGTTTCGACAAAGCAAAGATGGCGAACGAAGCAAGTTTTTCGTATCGTGTTCTTCGAGGTTTTTATGATTGTTACACATAGGAAATGGAACTATTTTTTTAATCTGGAACGAGATGGACACGAGCTACTACTTACGATGTAAAAGGTTCACAGTAAATAAGTTGCACTGATAAGTTGGTTAGTCAGGATAGAGACGAAATAAATAATTATAATGGTTATTCTGTACTAGTAACGTGAGTCTTTGACTGCCATTATAAAGCTAAGTAATGGAGTGTATTTATTTATATTTACTGTAACAATTGCAAGATAAATATAGGGTGCCAGTTAAAGCTCAATTTATATTTCCGCAGAACGATGGAAGCAAATTTTTAACCGACTTCAAAAACACGGGGGCTTTCACAAATTCGACTGTTTTTTTTTGTGTGTTGCGATTATTCCGACATTTGTGAACCGATTTCGATGATACTTTTTTTGCTGCAAAAGGTATCTTATTAGCGGTCCATTCTTTTTCTTTTTTTAACGCACACACTGAACATAGCCCCGCTCTAGGAAAACCCTGTGTCGCGGGTGCCATGGACACACACATAGACAATCACAAATTACACCCAAACTCACGAGAGAAATAAATGTAGGCCATACAAATATTTGTCCCGGCCCAGGAGTCGAACCTGGGACCCCTGTGTGGCAGTTGCATGGTAACCGTTCGGCCACGGAGGCAGTTTTACTAGGATTTGATTTTACTAATTATAATTATATAGGTATATTTAGCACTTTTACCAAATCGATGGATTCATTCAAAATTACTATTTTATTTATTATTACTGCCTCCGTGGCCGAACGGTTACCATGCCGGACTGCCACACAGAGGTCCCAGGTTCGATTTCCGGGCCGGGAGAAATAGTTGTATGGCCTACAATTATTTCTCTCGTGAGTTTGGGTGTAATTTGTGGTTGTCTATGTGTGTGTCCATGGCACCCGCGACACATGGTTTCCCTAGTGCGGGGCTATGTTGAGTGTGTGCGTTATTTATATTTATAAAATGCAATATATATTTAAAGCTACTGTTTCAATGTCTAGTTGGATCTCCTTTGAAATTATATAATAAGGCACCCTGTATATTATTTATAAAAATTACAGTTATAACACAAGCTAATCACATACACTCCTAGGCTAACACTAGTCTTATTTAAATTAATTTTAGTTTATAATAAAAGTTAACTCGATAACCCCCTTGATGGTAAAATTTTGATAAAATGTTAGTTATTTTTAACTATATAGTTTTAGAAAAATTTGATCAATTGTAACAATACTTTATTACAAATAATTATGAACTTGATTATGTCTTGTTTTATGTTACATGTATGTATGTTATGTGTTTGATGTTTGTACTTATACAAGGTTATTTTTAAAATATTAACAGGCCTGCGACCTATACTACTAACATAATAAAAAACAACTTTTTCCAAGTCTGTTCTTGTTCCATGATTTTTTACAAAACACAATACATTAACCACAAAAAAACTTTTAAGTTTTTGTTGTAAGTTGTTGTTGGAATAAGTTCAAACGTGCAAGCGTCCTCCGCTCCCACCCATCCTGCACGGAGTTATTACCGTTTAGAGCGATCTATTTAAATCTATTTATTTTTGTATGAAAGTAAAATTATTAAAAGTCATGGAATAATAGTTGTTCTTGTTAGTATTTTAAAAATAACCTTGTATAGTTATCATTTTGTATCAATTATCAGATTGGTTTAGTATAAAGAAAACAGCAAAATTTACCATTAAGAGAACGAATTTATCTCATATAACTTATTAAATATATAATATTTTTTTCTTGATTAAGTCTAGTTGGAATGCCCATAACAACATAGTGAGTCATAAAATATATTTGATTTAAGAGGAAACACTTAAGAAGTTTTAACACAACTTTAATTATAATTTTAATATAACTGGATGCTGATAAACAAAAACGACTCAACGTGACCACGGTTTTTCGAAAATGGCACTTAAATATTTTTTCCTTGTTTTTTATAGTTTGTTCTAAAATTTACTTGTAAAATTAAAACTTTTGCTGTTGTCACCCCAGGAATGATGAATTTATTACTGTAATTCCCAAACAATACGCACAACAGAAAAAGTTTTCATTTTACAAGTAAATTTTCGAACAATCAAACACGAAAATTTTTAGGTGCCATTTTGGCAAAACTATGATCATGTTAGTTGACTCGTTATTGCTTACCAGCATCCAACTGTATGTAGTGGATTTGCAGCGGATTAAGTCTTTTCAGAAAAACTTAGAATCACTAATTTATAACATAATGTATTTATAAATTAAAAAATACAGAAGAATCAAGATTGTAACAAATCGGAAGATATACTACATATTATGGAATGCGTTCCGAACGATATTTATAAATAGTCCTAAATGACTAATTAATAAAGATTTATAAATAAATAACAAATGTAAGGGCGCCTTCAATTTAAGACGATTATAGAAGCATTGCAACCGCGCCACTATTAATTTTCACACAATATTTTTTTGCACTTTTGCAGTCACAACTAAAAATTACTATGGCGGTACAGAAGCGCGGCTGCCGTGTCATAATCGCGCCTGCCGTGTCACAATCGCGCCACTGCAGCACTTCAATGAGCGTCTAATTTACTGAGGCCAAGAGAACAAAGAACCCTATATGTACCTGCCCTCCCTGCCTCATCCTAGTACCCGGCTAGCGTCCTAAAGAGCGGGCCGACGAGGGCTAAAACTCTATACTTTTATGTGAAGACCTAACTCTCATTGCGAGGCAGAGTGATTGACATTACAAGATCGTATATTTTTTTACTACGGCTAAGTACTTTTGCACCAAATGACGGCCCAGTGTTGCAAGTGTTAATAAAAACTAGATTTAAAAACCTTTAGTTAAATTTATTTGAAAAGGCCTAATTTGTCGCTTATGATGTATAGACCACACATCTTATAGTTATAAATGTACGGTGTGGCTTAAATGGTAGCTATTAGTTATAACATTATTTTGTAGATTACAGTACAAGTATTTATTTCTTAATTAATATTAAATAGTATGTACTTACAATGTAACTATTTTGTTATTGGAAATAAATGATCATTTTCATTTAATTTGTTTTATTTGACTTCTTGTGTTGGTCCCAAAAATTAAAATTGTAGGTTAAAATAAATATTGTTTTGGACAACAGTTTCAAAAATCGGATAAGCACATCCCGAGATCATCTTAATAAATACAAAAATACTTATCTTCTCTAATATATTACAATACTTGGCGATGGAATTAGAGATAAAAAATGTAAACAAAGGTGTTACCAATCCAAAAAAACAATGTGAAAGGACTAAGAATCGCCTCGAGAGCAAAGAAATGAGATCCCTGAATACGTAGCGTGATATATTGCCATCAGTAAATACAAATATAATTATCAAAACATTGTATTCTTTACAACACACTTTTTAATAAAATAAGCTCCTAAAAACTGATTCCTATACTAACTTTTACAACCGACTTCAAAAAAGGAGGAGGTTTTCAATTCGACTGTTTTTTTGTATGTATGTTACGCGTTAACTCCGGTATTTGTCAACCGATTTTCGTGATTTTTTTTTTGTTGTAAAGAGTGTACCTCCATAGTGGTCCCATTTAATTTTGAAGAAAATCATCCACCTTATGTGTTAGCTGTTGTCACATGAAGATTCAATTTTATAAATAGCGCCTAAATTTTATTATAAGGAGCAATTATTTCAATGGTTGATTTTGCTATTCTCCAATTCAAGGCGTTTTTCTCTCTCAATATATTACTTTGAGTAGTGAGAACCGATTTTTATTATCTCCTATGTCATGTCCCGGATGAATCCGGGTTTGCGCACGTTCCGGTAACCTATTTCAATAAAACTTGGTAATCACAATGTGATTCCACGTACTTTTGACGTCGGTTTCTTTAGTACTCTGTACTGAGATTATATTTATGTTTATCCTATTGGCAATTTTCCGTTGATACACAATCTTGGCGGCCCTTTTTGTTTATATGATTTTTGATGCATTTCTCAATTATAAATGAAACTTCCTAATAAAAATTAAATAAACGTACTAATTTACTCTTAATATCAAGAGTCGAACGTCTATTAATTAATGATTTATTAAAACGAACCCGAAACAAATTTTATGATCTATGAGATATCACTTAGTCAAAGTAGTAGTTTATTTGCATTTTTGATCTCGAATACCTTCGCCGGGTATAGATGCTTTTCTCAGACTTAAAACACTGTGGAATGACTTCAAATAATAAGAGTATCGTATGATCTACTTACTCCATCGTTGGTTAGTCCCAATGTCATACTTAATAAATACCAAAACTAAGTAGATATTGTGAAATATATACATATGTATTATATACTATGTAAATAATATCACTAACTGCTAGTTGAAGGTTTTGGACTAGATGATCTTAGTTTCGCTGCTTTCTCAACATTTGCAGCTCTGCTCTGCAAAAACAAACAAAAAAAAACGTGACGCAACTAGAATACTTACACATAGATTAATATAATAATATTATAACAATAATTAATATACTATTTCTTTATATATAGTGAAAGAGAAAACATATTCAAATCCCAAAAAAGGTGCATAAGAGCTATGTGTGGGCTAAAACCCACAGAATGCTGCAAACAAATGTTTATTTCACGTCGCATATTAACTCTGCCCTCTTTATGTTTTGGAAACAATTATATTTGTAAAAATGAACGTAAGTACATCAATTTACAAAGGCCTATGCGATTACAGGATTCATTGCCCGTAGTCCAATTAGCTGGACTACGGGCAATATTGTATGGGCATTGGACCTACTGACCGGTTAGTACAGTCACCGTCAATGTTAATAATGTTACTTATTCTGAGCTAACTACAATTGTTCTCCAGGATGATCCCTGTGACAGTTCATAAGAAATCGCAAGATATAATCTTGTAATAACGTGCACTGTTTAATATATTTTATGAATTAATTTTGTAAGTATCGCTTTTAAGTGAAATATTATATGGTGCGTGCAGTCAGTCAGAATACTTAGAATTTATAGTCTTAATTGACCCTAGATCGAGTTTGCTAGCCTGATCAGACGCTATTCCAAAGTAGATATGACGTTGGGGTTTAAAGCCAGCTGCGGCGCTCCTCAGTGACTGCACGCACCATATAATATTTTCACCTAAAAAAATACCCTGAATTTTTTTAAATTTTGTAACATCTGCTTTTATTGTACCGTATTTACAAGAAATAAATGACATTATATTCTCGCAAATGACGTCTTTACGAATTATCTCTACAGGCACGACCATGAGCGCTATGAGGTTTAAGTTGCCGCATAAACAAATGTCAAATGAAGTCAATTTCTCTCTAACCACGGGAGCACATAGCGATGTCGTTATTGAGTATTATGCTTTCATTATAATTATTATTAATTAGGATTACAAGGAAGCAGTGGGACGAATATTGGTTTTCGTAATGATGAATAAGATAGCAGAATTACCGCCGCCGACATTAATCATTAATTAGGTTGGCTAGTTGTTTCCACAAATATGGATGCGGCCGAAAATGCAGCCTTTTGCAAATGAACTTGAGAAGAAATTCTTATCTATAAATGTAATAAAGTTACACAGATACCTGTAAAGACTGTACTCTCTTATGTAGCGACATCATCGAATTTGATATTGAAGTTAGTTTTTCCCTGTTAGTAGCTATATCTGCTAGCTGGAACAGAAAAAGGAAACAAAAAAATTTACATACTTTTTTGTGAATTTTAAAAATGAACCATGAACATTTAGAGTAAACAACTTTTTTGACAAATCGTCGCTCTTAGTTTGGAGTGCCTGCATTAATGGTCACATCGAAGATCAAATTAAAATATTACATGAATTTAGTTGAACAGCAAATGCAAAATTAATCAATACAAAACTGAATGAATAATGGGCAAGATTTTAAATTTAAAAACCTAGATTCATTTATTTAAAAAATTCTTATCTCAATCTTAGATTAAAAAGACTGGCAAAAAAAGACTGTTGAAATGTCAATGGCCAGAACTTTAGAGCGGCAATTTCATCATTTCAACTTTGAAATAAATTAAAAAAGGAACCTTTAACCTTTAACCTAATTTAAACACCAAACTTACTAAAGCATCCAGCATAGCATCATTTTGTAAATCCTCAAGTTTCCTCCTTTCTGATGTTATCATTCCTTGTACAGTCTCTTGCTTTTCACTGAAAAAAAATCAAAGATATAGAAAACAAAAGTTTTACCCATAATACATTTAACATTAATTATCACATTACATAACAAATTAAATAATAATTAACAAATAATTTAATAATAATTAACAAAAGCAAAAACAATTTAAATGGTTTAATCCATCAAAAATTTATAATGAAACTATGTTTTAGAGCACAAAAATTGAGGTATTTTATTATATCATCATTCTTGATTTTATTCTTGATGATGATCTTATTTTAATAATGTGTTTCCCCAAAAGTTATTAACTCGATCACCATTGAAATAAACCACATTAATTTGCTAATGTGAAATATTTAACTTAAGTACAACTATTATTATATTATAATTATATTATTATAATAGAATTAACTTCAATTTTAATGCACAAGTGTTAGAAATATGTGGGCCAAACAGTAGTTCTTTTTTTTATATATAATAGATACACGCTTGGCCACAATCTCACCTGATGTTAAGCGACGATGTGACCGACGATGGGACGCGTTTGCCTAAAAAATGCCTATTCACTCGTGCCTTGAATAGCCCCAAATTGTACTTTTCGGGAAATACAGATGCCGAAAGAGCATTCCATTCCTTTGCCGTACACGGAGGAAGCTAAGCGCTTCGGACGAATAGGTGGAATATCAACGACATAAGAATGGAGTGCTCCGGACCTTCTAGTCGACCGAAGGAGGAACGGTGAGGGCGAAACCAAATTAAAAAGTTCCTGCGCACACTTCCCGAAATGTATCCGATAGAAAACCGACAAGCAGGCTACTTTTCTGCGGTGGTCGAGATTTTGATGCTTCGACTCCACTAGTGAATTATTGTTAATAAGTCTCTTTGTTTTTCGCTCCACCGAGTCCAAGGCAGCTAATTGGTATTGGGCAGAGCCGTCCCAAAGGTGGCAGCAGTACTCCAGGATCGAACATACAGGATCGAACTTGTGCTTTATACAGATTTAAAAGCTGTTCAGGTGTGAAGTACCGCCTGACCTTGTGAAGTATGCCTAGTTTTCTGGCAGCAGTTTTTGCCAAGCACTCGGTGTATCGCCCAAAGTTGAGGTTGGATGATAAGTCCAGACCAAGTAGCTCAAGGTGGTCCCTTATCGGCACGGATACACCTCGGAAAGTCGGAGTAAGGTGTAGGGGACTCCGTTTTGATGTGAAAAGACACGCCTGTGTTTTAGCCGCATTAAACGGACCCTGTTAGCATCTCCCCAGTCGGAAGCAGCTTTCAGACTCAGGTTCAACCGGGTGACCATCGCATCTCGCTTACACTGGATCCCTTCGCTGTTGTCTCAGGCGTCTGGCACATAACTCTCTACCACTGTGCTGTCGTCTGCGTACCCAAAGATACTGGGCATCAGCAGCAGGTCGTTGATATGCAGCAAGAATAGTGGCGGAGAGTACAGATCCCTGAGGTACACCGGCATTTATACCATGAGGAGCAGACGAGTAACCATCTATAACTACACAGATTGATCTATCCTTCAGAAAATCGCCTATCCATGTGCAAAAGCCAACAGGAATTCCGTAAGCTGGAAGCTTGTTTAACTGGCTATCATGCCAAACCCTATCAAAAGCCTTTGATATGTCGAGAGACACGGCTAGCGATTCACCGCGTTTCTCGACAGCCTCGCTCCGTAAATGTGTGGCATACGCAAGAAGATCCCCAGTAGATCGACCACGGCGAAAACCATACTGTCAATCACTGAGGAGATCGTTATTTTCGAGGTATCCAAGGAGACGGCTATTCAATACGCGCTCCATAGTCTTACAGAGTATGGAGGTGATTGCGATAGATCGATAATTAGATGGGTCGGCTATGAACTACCTTTCTTAGGTACAGGCTGTACATTTGCAAGCTTCCAGGATTTCGGGACCTGTCCAGAACTTATAGAGAGGCAATACAGGCGAGTCAACACCGAAGACAACTCGGGTGCACAGTTCCGCAGGACAATCGCTGGGACTCCGTCAGGGCCACTGGTTTTGTTGACGTCTAATTTGCGTAAAGTTTTCAAAGCCTCTTTTTGACGGATAGTGATCTCGGGCATTTCCGAGTCATAGCGAGATAGTGTAGGTGGTGTTTGCATTGTAGCGTCAAGACGGGAGTTGGAAGCAAAAAGAGAAACAAAAAGATTTGCTTTCTCTTCAGCGGTATGAGCCAGCGATCCGTCAGCTCTCATTAAAGGCGGAAGGGATGACCTGCAGAAATTCGCTTCGACCGATTTAGCGAGTGACCAGAATGCTTTACTCCCTGATGGGTATGAAGCTAACCTGACCCCAATACGACTAATATGCGAGCTTTCCGTATCACTTTTTTGCAGGATCTAGCGGCTTTGTTAAAGGCTTTCTTCAGACGGAGGGTTTCCGGTGCTTTGCGATCTCGAGCATCAGCCCAAGCCTGGTACGCAAACTGCTTTAGCGTTTCCGCAGAAGCACATTCAGCGTTAAACCAAGGGCGAGCTTTGCCGCAGGACTTCGAAATACGGAATAAAGTATTCCATAGCCCGAATAATCACCTCAGAGACGGCCGACGCGCAGCACGTCGGATCGTCAGAAGAGAAGCACAGCTGCCGCCAGGGAATAAGATGCAAAGAAATGTCGCATCGCATCCCAATCTGCTGACTTGTATCGCCACATCCTCTTAGTACTTCTCGTACCGAGATCGGGTGGGGAGTAGACAGATACAGATTTCACCAGACAGTGATCGGATGTCCCTAGTGGGGACGAGACCGATACTTGATAGCGGTCTGGATGGTCCAAGCAATTCCAGAAGATCCAGGCAATTGGCTGTGTGGTCGTCAACGTCCGGTACCAGGGTAGCGCAACTCACCAGCTGGGTGAGGTCTAGCGATAGAGCACATGCCCGCGCCTCACTTCCAGCATGGTCGGTTTTTTGGTATAGAAACAACCATTCCTGGTGATGGGCATTAAAGTCCCCCAAAAAGACAAGTTGCGCTTTAGGATACCGTTGTTGGACTGTTGATCGAACGATGGAGCACCTCGGAATTTTTTGCGAGTTGGCGGGGCAGCCTTTCACTGGAGGCTAATCAGCTAATAGGGCCCCCTACTACCTGCGGTCGGCCAGCGGAGTACCGTGCTTCGGATCCCGCTACCCTCCCGTCCCGAGATCAACCAAATCAGTGCAGTGCAACTGTACAGACCCTTCATTGCAGAGCGGCTACTCTGAGCGTCAAACCGGAACACAGTCATTGCTGTTTGGCGGCTAGGCTTCGCCCAGAGGGTCGTCACCAGCCACGACCAAGGTCTACCACCGGATTTTTTAGCTTATTTGGCACCACCCAGGGGTCACGTGTAGGGTCTCGAAGGTGCACAGCCTACGGACGCGAGCTACTTAACCCCCAAGAGAAAGAAAGAAAAACTTTGGTAACTTTGGTTTGGTTGGTTTAATTTGTGACAAAATATTCACAAAATTAAAATAAAGAACCTTAGGATAAACACAATGTAAAAAACATTTAAATGATTTTACTGAAATGGTCTCCAAAAATTTTTTTGTAACTAAACGATTGATAACACTTCATTATGCTGGTATTAGTAAAGCCAGATAAGAGCTAAATGTTACCTAGCTCCATGTTGTTAATTAAGCTACGATTTTAATTTAAGAACCTCTTTTGTGTTTTTCAATTGCCCCTGTGATCAAACGGTTACTATGCTGGACTGCCACGCAGCCCAAGTTCGATTCCTAGGTGGGGATAAATATTTTTATGGCTTACATTTCTCTTGTGAGTTTTTTTTTTTTTTTTTTTTTTTTATTGTGACTCGTCAAAATGACTGCACCGCGCCTGATGGAAAGTGCGAATACAGTCCAGAGATGAGAGTAACGGATGGAAAACACAAATATCTTCACTCCGTCACTATCATTTTGCCGGTCTGGCCAAATGCTTCTTCACACTACGTTTGAAGGACCCGATGTTATAGAGGGGAGGGAATACATGCGCCGGGAGTTGGTTCCACAATTTGATGGTTCGGCATAAGAATGAATTGCCAAACTTTTTAGTGCGGGACGGGTGGGTGTAATTTGTGGTTGTCTACCTATGTGTGTGTCCATGGCACCCGCGATACAGGGTTTCCCTAGTGTGAGGCTATGAATGTATGTTAAAATAAAACTTCAGGAAGTTTGTGACAATTGGTATGTGTTTAAAACTGCAGCTCTTTTTATGGAAATGTTGGGGTCCCTTTTAGATTTAATAACTTAAGAGTCTGGACAATTATTATTAGGGTGGCTTAATTTGAGGTTTATGCAGCCCTTCATCACTGTGAACACAAACTGATCTATCGTGATTACCACTAATTGCAGTTCGGAGTCATGGCCAACAGCGTCAAAGAGGATGTTCCTGGCTCCTATAGTCTTTATGTCCTATGGCTGTGGCCTGTGCATTCCTAGTATGGAACTATGTACACCCATCAGGGGGTAGTATTTTATATAAGTTATTTATATAGTTTCATGCGTGCGTTGCCTTTGAAAATTTTGAATTCATGATATTCGAATTTACAGGATAGTCGAAGACAAGATTAGTCTTGTTTTTTACAATCCTGTAAACTCTAACATACCCAGAAATACAGAAAATAATGTTTGATGGCCTACGGTTCGCAACGTGGGCGCTGGATGAGGAATTCCCGGGTTGGAATCCCAGTAGAACCAGGTTGCGAAATGTACTTTTTTTAATTGGTTATGCTCTGGTAGTGACCCGGAGTGACTTCGATTGTTCTGGTGCTCAAAGTACAGGGAACCCCCTAGAGACCAGGCAATTATTGTGCTTGTCTGGCACATTAAATAAAACAAAAAAGAAGAAAGAACTCACGTTAACTCTCTCAAATGTGTGTTTATGGTTGCTAGAGGAGGTTCATACAATTCTAGCAGGCCCCGTGTCAGCAACTGAACAGTTTTAATGTCTTCTTCAGTGTCTGTAGTGGTTTTTTTATCTTCAATATCTTTGGAACTTGAACTAAAAGGTTAGAAAATTACACGGTAAAATTGTAATTAATTTACTATAAATTGGTCAGTATTTACCTTTCCATTGTGAAGTTCAATTAAGTGCCTTTAATATTTGGTATTTGAATTAAATTTTAGTTGAAAAATATAATAATCCTCGAGAACACATACAAATACACGTACATATCCAGCTGATTGAAGTGACATTCCTACTATATCTTTATAATTTGTGATTTACTTTCAATATTAATATTTTATATAACATTGCTTGCTGTTTATGGATAATGCGTTAGAGTTTTCGAGTAAGATACGCAATGTATGTACATAATATTAAAATGATTGACAATACAGTCTCTATTTTGACGCTTTTTGTTCTGTGTTGACAGAGTGAATATAAGTGACTTTTTAGTCGTGAAACGTACGTCCCAAGAATGAAATCGTCTATTTTCGTTAATACTCAAATAAGATAAACAAATTAAACTTTTAACTCCTTCAAATAGGAGTTTTCTTGCTTCATTTTTATAATGTACTCTACGTTTGTCAATGCAAAAGGTAATATTTAATTATCGATTGTTATGACAAGAGATCAGAGACAGATCCGTAAATCGGAACGACTAGTTTATGGTTTATGGCCGCAAGATTTCTTGTTTTGACTGACGTTCTTCATATTCTTTCATTTTCTGTGGACGAAAAGGAGGGGATTTTTTCTCATTGTCAACTGAAAACCAAGTGCGATAACCGCCGTTACTGATTCAGCTAAACAATTGAATTAAAGCCGCAAATCTGGAAGTGTTACAAGTGCCGCGTGAGGACGCCGAAATGACGTCCGTATCGAGGAGACAGGAACGACAAGACCCTGATTCGGAGTATTCTGATGCTTCTCACGCTGAAAATGATCACGACAACTCAGGAAACGTAAGTTCGGAGTAAGGTGGGAGTAACAATAAGACGATAGAACTTTCGATTTGGTGGGTGAAGTGCGCGTAAACTTTCTCCCGTGTTCGCGTGTCGGTATGCCCATTTCTTTTCGTTCAAACGAGGTCATGATCACTGACCACTCACTGAAAGGCCGCCGCCGTGATTAGACTCCTAATTAATTGGCGCCACGTCGGTTTTGCTTGGGTAAAGTGGAAGAAATGCAGTTGTTGAAGGTAGCTGATTGTTTTCAGGATGCAGGGCAGGCAGAATCTGATTATGACTCTGCAGGAAGTGAATCTGATCGTTCCGACCGAGATCCTGATAATCAGGTAAGTTTTTTGTTTCATTTTACTTTCTAATTGGATTTAAAAAAGCAACAAGTAATTCATTACCTATATGAAGACTTTTAACTCATAAATGGTAGTAAAATGTTAAAAGGATTTTATTAAACAGTAATAATTTAACATTAATAATTGTGAAGAAGTAATTGTAAACAGGAGTAAGTTAACATTTAGTAAGTGTCAATTAAGTGAGCGTATATATACCGTACAATTATGTAATGGTAAATTATGTTGTCATGTAATTTACTGCAAAGCTCATCCGATTTACATCAGTATTAAAACAAGCAGGATATACTAAAAATATAAAATTATTTACGGCTTGCATGTGTGCGCAACTGTTGTGCACCGTGTATGGATTTGTATAATAATTAAAGGTGCATTTTAGACAATCAGTGTTTTGCAATGTTAGTGCATTGCTGGATTATGCAAATGTGTGCATAAATACAAGCCTTGTAGCGGGTGTGTAGACATACATTTGTGCTGGAATGTTTCTACAGAGTTCTATCGTATGGTGTAATTGTGCAGTATACCCGGCCCAATATCATGATGCATGTAGCAATACACAAACCATAAGTATTTAGAGACACTTATTTAGATTTTTCGAGCCTTTATTGTCATGCCTTTCTAAGCATATCACTGATGGTAAGTTGTGCCTGGTGAAATTTATAAAAAACATATCAAATAACAATTACTTTGTTATTTTTTTATTGCTTTAGTCTCAAAATATTTGTTACCTTAGAATTTATTAAGAATGTTAGAGACACCATAGGTTTTTATTCTTTGTTTAGGTATGAGCACCTTGAAAGTTACAATTTTGCTGAACATTATTACCAGCTTCCCATTCATATGAAATATAAATTTTATTTATAAAAAAATTTGCCTCTATTCACTGATTTACTTCTAAAACTAAATTAATTCTGAGTCTAACCTAATGCTTACTTCTAACAGTATTAATTCTTAATTGTAACATCAGCATCGGTTCTGGTTCTAATTAGGTTACCCTTTGACATAGGCCTCCTCCATATTTCTCCATAAGCAACGGTCTTGTGTGGACCAGCTCCATTCTCGGGGCAGATCGTCTTCCCACCTTGTTGTTGGCCTTCCTCTATGCCTCTTCCCATCTCTTGGATACCAATGTGTCACATCTTTTGACCACTTTTCTTTTGTTGATCTTACCATGTATCCACACCAGCACCACTTCAGTCGTTTGATTTTCATTGTGACATCAGTCACCTTGGTTGCCTTCCTAATTCTGGAGTCTCCATTTGTCTTTCAGCTTGATGTGTAACATGCTTCTCTCCATCCCTTGTTGGCACAGCTTTAGTCTTTGGCTGAGAGACTTAGTCAAGCTCCATGTTTGGCACCCAAATGTGAGCACTTATTCTTCTTTGAATTTCTTTCTTCATTTGGGAACTTAGGGATATTATTTGTCCTAGATAGGACATATTCATCCACATAATCAATTTCTGAGAAATTGACACGAGATATTTTACTTTTGAGAAAAGGGATTATGTTTGAGTATTTTATGATACAGATCGAAATAATTAGATACAAAATAATGGACATATACGTAATGAATGACTTCATTCGTTAATATGTTGCATTATCTGGTTTATTGCGAGTATTTTGAAATTATAACAATGGTGATAGTACGGGTAATTAGGTATAATTATTCCAAATTAAGTAGCTAACGCACTTGTGTTATGGAAATTGGAAACACCGATGGTGCCACAAACCTCAAGACCCGAAACAATATAGAAAAATTTTGTACATTGACCCGCCTGGGCATTGAACCCGGGACTTCAAAGTTGGCGACACCATGAAAACGCTTGGCAAGCCATTCGGCCGTGGACGTTGTCACTGTGATCAACCATTGTAACTGAGCTCAATTTTCGGCCAGCATCGAGCAAGTGCTGGTTGTGTTTGCGGTAAACAAGCGCAGCTTTTTTATTAACATGGATTTCAGCAGAGTAGCCCCAGAATCTTTAATCATCAATTAATTACATGTTCTCATACTAGGGCATTCTATGTATGAAGAAAAGCAACAACGTGAGCTTTGAGGACATTTTCCATAACACTAAGGCCAGAACTAATTTAGATTATTATTTTCTTTGTATCAACAAATATTTACCTGATGTGCAAATTCTCAGCACTAAACAAACATTAAACATGCTGTATCATATAACCTCCTTTGATTCTTTTTGTTGGGCAACTAACTTAATTTTTACTTTACTTCTTAATTCATTCTAAGTTATTCTTTTAAACATATGGATATGGACAGGCGTGTTATTACCAGGGACTCGTTTCTTCTGTCACTTGATATCATAAAAAAAATAAGAAGTACTGTTTAGTGATGAATCTTCAATATTTCGAAAAACTTAGTTAAATTCATATGATACAGCATTTATAACCCATGCAGAATAACCAACAGAGTAACCCAAAAATAAGTTTGTTTCCTAGATTGCTTGATTGATTGCTTCTATCTGGAATCCAATTCGGCATTTTCGCAACTAGTATGCTTACTTTCCGTACTTAATTTAGAACTTAATTTAGATGAATTTCTAAATCCAACAATTTAAATATCTATTTCTGACATTTAGAGTACTTTACCTCAGTTGGTCCCATAGAGTCTATTGATCCTTACCAGAGACCGGATCGAATGGCATAAAAAAAGTTTTGTAAAAATTGCCTTTTATCTTGCTGACTGTACCATTTTTTCAAAATCTGTGAATGTCAATCAAAATATCTTCAAAATTCATGGATAGTCTTTTAGAATCGTTTTCCTGTAACTACAATGATTAAGGTAGCTAGCCTTGCTGCCCCGTCTCAAATTTACATCCTGTATAATAAGCTTGTGAAAATAGATTGATATAGGTTTCAATAGCATCCAGTCCTTTTGTAACATTTCTCTTATGGACGTTTACATTCCGATTCTATGATAGCATATGACCCCAAAACATTGTTTCAAAGTTTTAACATTACCAGAAGAACCTTTGCTTTATTGCAATAAATCTTTATTTTCTCTATCAAACTGCTTTACGAATTAGTATATATAACCTGAAATGGAGACTGAACGTCATTTAATTTGTTTGAAAACTATTCTGCAGTTCGGATGGCTAGCCCTAATTCGAAACAATTGACGGGTGTCGTCAATTATCTCACTTCAACTCGACCAGTTTAACTTGAGCTTTGATATAATGGACGTAAATTGCAAAATGACATATTTAATACTTAATTACCGATGAAATCTGATTCCGTCTGTTTTGTAATTAGATGTTTTGCTGTTTTTCCCACACCACCGAATGGAATAGCCCCTACTGTTAGACATATTATCTTTATTAAAATAAATATAGAATATTTTTGGAATATACGGAGACGTAAACACAGGTCAGTTGTTGGCGCTGTACTATTTCAGTTTTCTAATTTGTGGTTTCAGCGCAAACGAGAGTTGATATTTAAAAGTGATATAAGGTCCATTTGCCTGATGAGTTGCCAGGGATGGATGGCCCTTATTTTCTCTCTATTTCTGGTTATATACTCGATGGTTATACATTAGACAGTAGATTGTTGCCTTAATTATTATAGGTGGTTCTTGTATTTTAAGTAGCCAGGCATAGACCTGATTATCTTCCTAAAAAATAAGTTAACATTAAATTTTACTGTACATTGTATGTATAGACCATTGACTTACAAATAAATGGACGACGGGTCTAATACAAAAACCACGAAAAAAATGTCCCAAGTCAACCTATTCGAAATTTAAATTGTTATGTCATCGCAGTATCGCGCTGTCCGTAGAACAAATGAAGTCTAAAGCGGAGTGTCGCGCTCTGTATACGATTTTAGCGCCTCACAAGTGCGGACACTTTAGCGCGGACCCGACGTCCATATAATTGTAAGTCAATGGTATAGACACATATATTCTTTATTATTTGAAACCTAACCTAAATGATGTTTTTTAATAATGGTGTAAGGGATGGGACAAACAAGTCATGGGTCTGGTGGTAAGCGACACGTCTGTCCTTAACAGTTGCAGAGCCACTCAGAGCTTTAAATCACAAAGACCTGAGGGGCACTGCCACTACGCCCGTCACTCCGAGACATAAGTTGACAAGTCCCACGTGCCTGTAATTTCACTAGCACCCTTATTACCCTTCAAAACCGAAACGCAGTAAAAATCTTATTACTGCTTGGCGGCAAAAATAGGTAAAATTTTGTTTTCTCATAATAAGTTTTCCTGTACCATAATTTTCATTAGTTTCTTTTTGTGATGAAAAAGTTTTTACCGTCCATCGTCCCGTCGTTGATAAATTTGAATGTAAACAAAATTTCTGTTCAAATTTCACTTTCATGCCTCAATGACACCTTCTATTTGTTAATGATAGAGGTAACGGTACAAATCAATAGTTTTAATACGTATTTTTTGAAATTCATCAAGCTGTATTTATATTTTAGGAGACAGAGCGTCGGGTGGACGATGACGAGGACCGCAGCAACCCGCAGTACATCCCAAAGAGAGGGACCTTTTATGAACATGACGATCGTACTGCTGCCAGGTGAGGATGCTTTTTCCCAGGGCTCTTAACTCATATTAAACGTCCACAAAAAACAACCTCTCATACCTCCAATGTTTATTCCAAATCTTTCACTGTGTCAGCGATCAGACGTGGAATACATTTCCACAATCTATTTGACAACCTCTTTTAATTCCTTCAAACAACGTGTCAAGGATCACTTCCTCAATTCCTAAGTTTCGTTTTTCTTCCACGGGCCTTTTATTTATTTCCTGTGTTTAATATTATTTATTGTTATGTATTAAAATAATCTATGGATATATATAATTTATGAGTATAATATCTAAATATATATTTTATTAGTACTTTTGGTGTAGTGTATTTTTGAAACTACGTGGGGTACAAATTTATATCCTAAGGTTGCCTGAAAGAAATTGCTACACAGCAATAAGACCGTCTGTTGCACATTAACAATTTTTATATTTACTTATGTTGCTGTTCTATGATGTCATTGTGATTTTATGGGCAATAAAGAGTATTTCATTCATTCGTTCATTCGGAAGTATGCCCGATATTCCGAGTGAAATTGAATCCAAATTCCCAATTTAATTTCTAAAGTCCCATTTACTGTTCCTCCAAAATGTTATACACTTTTCGTTTGAGAAAACAGAATCGAGTTACACCATTAGTGTGAGTGGTTCCTTGCTTGTCATTTCATAGGAATCTGCTTTCTAATTTATCAAGTCAGGTGTAATTTGCTCAATTTTTAATAAAACATTTGAAAAATAAAATAATAATTTACATAATACAAACAACATAAAACAAGGTCGTAATCATCTCCTGTTTTTCAAATAGTCCAATCCTGTAAAAAACCCATTCTTAATTATTAAATGACTTCAAAACAGCTTGAAGGTTCTCAATTTGATTGTATTTTTTTATTTATTTTTATTTATTTAAGCACTTTAGTATTACAAATTAAATTACAAATTTTCAGATTTTTTTTTTAATTGTGTGTATGTTGCGTGATTACTCTGGCATTCGTGAACCAATTTTGATGTTTTTGTCGATTTTTTTAATTTCTGGACTTTATTTCTTTTTGATACAAGTTATAAAGGTGCTACAAGAATGCATTTTAAATCACTAACACGGCTGAGCCTTCTATATTAAATATACTTTGTATAGAAGACAAATTGGCAGAAGGTTTATAAGTAGAATATTTTCAGCCACGCACCTAAGACCATCAACAATAAATTAAAAAAATCAATAAACAATAACATCTAGACAATAGTTTCTCAAAGTGGTCCATACCGCCTAGTGGACGCTGAAGAGTCGTAGGTGGCAGGGGCCTCGGAAGCAATTGGGAGGCGTCGATGTTCCTAGGGGGTGCTACCGCATTTGAGAAAAAAAACCTGTATTATCTATATAAACTACACTACAAATATATATTTTCTTTTCCTCGTGATTTGTTTGTTTCAAGTTAATATAAAAAATACGTCTTTTCAATTATTTTTTGTGGTGGTGGGTGTTGAAATTATTTATCTGGCCTAAGTGGGCGATGAGCCAAAAACTTTGGGAACCCATGATCTAGACTAACAAACTGAAAAGTATCGTTATTATTACACACATTACAATCAAACATAAACAGCAATAGCAAGTCAATGACCGGGCTGACCGCTGAAGCGAAGCCGCGGTGTAACATATGTATAGAAAGTTGTCTGGTATCCAGTAGTGTTAGGAGATAATTGGTGTCATCATTAACTTTTGGAAAACTTCATGAATGTATTGTTAGATGCTTACAAAACAGACTTGGAAACTGGAAAGTTTTATAAACTGATCATCCCAGTGCTCCAATCTGATCCTTTGTTGTCCTGAAATTGTGCAGGTTTTTACTGTAATATATTTTTTTATGAAACTAAATGATATAACGAACAAGTCGTGCGCCTGTTGGTAAGCGACACGCTTGTCCATAACGGTTGCAGTGGCATTCAGAGCTTTAAATCGCAAAGATCTGAGGGGCACTGCCACTGCGCCCATTACCCTGAGGCATAAGTTGAAAAGTCTCATGTGTCTGTAATTTCAGCAGCATCCTTACCCTTCAAAACCGGAACACAGTAATGCTAGTATTACTGCTTGGCGGCAGAAATAGGTAAGGCGGCAGTACTTCCATGGACGAACTCTCACAAGGAACTCAACCGCTACTAAAATAAAAATGATGTTTCTGAAGCACTTAATGAACTGTTTTTTGTTATGTTCTTTTGTCGACAGTGGAGAAGACTCAATAGTGTCAACATCAGAAACGGCTTCGGAAAAGAAGGAAATCGAATCGCCAGCCGACCGACGTCGTGGGCCTCGCAAGTCTGAGAGCGTCAACAAGTGGTCCCATGACAAGTACAATGAAAACGAACAGGTATAACCAACCTTCGGTATCGATATGATTTTTTCATAGATAGAGCTACAATGCAGTTTGAATTTATTGGCCGTTAGAAAAGCCGATCGGCCGTCATCGGCTGCGTATGGATGCTATCGGAAAGTCACAAGAAGCAGTTCGTTGTTGACCGGTGTTGAGCCGTACTACGGTACGAACCAATGCGTAACGCGCAACGTCTCTTTCGCTCTTATGGCAAGGACGTATAGCTTATTCTGACAGTTTAATGCGATTTCACTACCGATATCTAAAAATAGGAATATGAGCCGGTAAGTGTGAAGTCCCTAACTTTCATTGAGCCAGGATGGCGGACTATGGTCTAATACTTGTCCTTAAAGGAAACCTGTGCCCAGCAGAGGAAATGTCTTGATGATGAAGAACTAGGTTTCGTAAGTCGCTACGTCTCACGCGTATCTCATATAAGATGTTCATAGATAACTTTGTTATCTGATATCTGTTCGATATTATTGGATACGCGCGCGGAACAAAAGCTGTATATAACCTGGTCATATCTTCGATGCGTATCAGGACCACTTTTTTGATACATTAACTCTAACAAAAATTATAGTTGAAAAAAAAAATCGCTGAAAGACGAATTTCGGAGATACACTTTTGGAGAGAAAATCAAAAGCAATTGAAAGTACACCTTGAATTAATTACTATTAGGTTAATTTTTTGTTCTAACATTATTGTAACTGGCTCCAATAATAGTCAGGAGTTTCTGAATGCAAGACAATGGAACTTGTTATTGTTCGTTTAGGTGCCGAAGTCGCGCGACGAATTAGTCGCAATCTACGGATACGACATCAGAAACGAGGACGCGCCGCCGCATGCGCGTCGAAACAGACGATATGGGTGAGTTCGAGCTATAATAGCACATAGGAAGTAAACAATTTGCTTTTAAAATTATTGGTAAACAAGTATGATATACATAAATACCGGAATGTGATTGGCTTAAGTTGAATTTAGAACAGAGAACAGTTTGAAATAGACGCGTGAGTTGCATCGCAATGGATAGCTGCGGTCAAGAGTGGTGGTAGCCCGGTGGGGCATCTGTTACGTTTCAAGTGATGGTTGAATTATCATGTTGGCATTTATATTTACGTTATCAACTTCATGTAGTCGAGGTCTCGGTTGCATGAAGTTGATAACGACTTCACGCATTAACTGCAAACATGCAGTCAATCTGTTAGCAGCCTTAGATGGAGCTTGAAAGCCTGATCAGATCTATGATGCGTATCATAATGTGCTTGTTTGAACGTCAAACAAAACGCTATCCGACGTTACGCGCGGTTGATACGCATCTCTGATTAGCTACTGAGGTACCATACGCCGACATGATACCAGTGTTTATTCCGACTGTTTAGGGTTTGTTCCTAGATCTGTTTTTAGATTCTGAATCCATCGAGAGTTTACCGTTGATTTGTTTGCTCATGTTCTGTAGGAAATCAATAAACAACTGTTTAAATGTAAACATTTTTAAAAGTTTTGCCAGATTACAACAACGGTGGTTAAAAGGGCAACACTTCAAATTTTAAGGATGATGAGGAATCGAACAGCTTTTCCGAAAACTTTTTAAAATCATCATAGTCATAATTCATGTACACAACGAAGAAAAATATTATTTTGTTCATAATATTATAAAGCTTTTCAAATCCCTAAACCAAATCATTAAAAAAACCGCGCAATCGGCTCTACATGTCACTTAATTTGAGTGACGTTATTTGTAGGTAAACAATGCACACTACATTCGCCACTTGCGAGAATTTTTTTTTTTACTGTTTTTTTAATATATTGATTGACTACTGTCCACAATCTATTTTTATTTTTAGTTTTTGTTAAAAAGTGATTAAACGGAGGAAAAACACATTCTAATACGCCAACGATGGATGCGGTGACATTTCTTTACTTACCCACGTATAACGTCACGTGGTGTGTTTGGTGTTTGCGTTACAGATAAAAAATATTACAATTCTCAGGTTTTATTTATTCATCTAAAAATACAAATCATTATTATTTCACAAAATTTTTGATTAATTGATCGTTTTTAACGGACTCCAAAAGAAGGAGGAGGTTCTCTCATTCGACTGTTTTTTTTTCTTTTTTTTTTTGTATGTATGTTACGCGATAACTCCGACATTTGTCAACCGATTTTGATGATTCTTTTTTTGTTGAAAAGAGGGTACCTCAGATGTGGTCCTATTCAAATTTGAAGAAAATATTCCGCCTCTAAAGGTGGAAAATTAGGGGATGAATGACTTTTGAGGTCGGTTTTTTTAGTACTCTAGACTGTTTTGTTTATACAACCATTTTTTCAAACTACATTTTAGATATTTTTCGTGTCTGATTATTTGAAATTGTTATTTCAATGGCGACACTAACGGCCCTTTCTCCTTAGACGACCTGTCGTCTAACCAGTACTACAACATTAAATAACTTTCATAAGTCTGATCAGTGTCATTACTGTATGCTTCTCCTCCTAGTGCCTTTTGTATGTTGTACTTATTAAAATCTTGTTTCTATCCCCTCGCATTCGAATTAATAAAAGGAGGTATCGACACTGGCGGTTAGTCAATGTGTTCCATGTCGCATGATATTTTCAGTTCCTTTGCTTATTGTAGCTTTTCTTTATGTACTTTTAACAGCGCATCTACTTTTAGAGTAGTTACATACAGCGATACACTTGCGATTTATAGGCGATTGCATCGATGCAAACGCGCGGCTGCATCGATACAGTCTCTTATGTTAAAAAATCTGTATAGGTTTATGCACATTATTTTGTTTTGTTAATTGTAAATTTATAAGTGAAATTAATAGATACATTAAATAAATAAATTAGTTAATTAATTAATTTATTTAATGTGTATCGCGTTTGCATCGCTGCTAAAGGTCGTCGTGTGTGACCACCCTTAGACATAAACATTTATAAATTTAAAAAAGCGTGATCAACCAATATAATGAGCCCAAAGATTCTACTGTTAGTAATTAGGAGTTGGGTAGTCTGAAGACTGTCTATGGTTGCAGAATCAGATAAAGATTACCATTAATATTGTAATGTATAAACGTAATGTATAAATGAATAAACATATAAATTAAAGTAATAAAATATAAATATAATAAGTTAAAAATTATTCAAAATAAACAAAAAAGTGTTAAAGGTATATGGAATATCCGGTGGATACTGCAATGGGGTAAGGAGAGCCAAATAACTCTCGAATTAAAATAAAACAGTAAAAATATTTCTAATTTTAAGCATAACACCTAAAATTTGATAGATATGGTGACATAGCTAGTGTAAATACAATGTAGTATCTATGCACTTTAATGCTTACCTGGGATGATGAAATGTGGCAATTTTTATAAGCGGGGAGCGAAAAACCCAACCAACTCGTACGACTAAACGCGGGCTTCTGCGGGGGCGCCCGCGGGAGAACTTTGTTGAACGTTAAATAAGAGCACAGTTTGTACAAGTACGAGCATTGGAAAAGTTCAGTTTAACACCGGTCTCATTACCCGCGAGCTCCCAATACCCCCCGTTCCCGTATACCAAAGTTCAAGTCGATCTGACGAGTGGAAATAAAATAAATATTAATTTTACGCCAGACAGACATACCGACATATTGACAGAATGACACACAGATACACAAAAGCTCAAAATTATAACTCCGCCGTTTTGCATCTGCGGTTAAAAATCAAGACTATGTCATTTACTTATAAGAAAATCGAAAATCTAAAGTGTAAAACCCAGCGTGCTGTTACTTGACAATTTTAAAAAGAGATCTTAGATTTTTACTGTGTTAGAAACAGATATTAGATTTTTGTTTGCTGCACGAATATAGACTAAAATGTTTGTAGCATTATCTATTCAAGTACATTTTTAAATTTATGCTTGTATGCTTAATGTTTGATGCTTCTAAGTTAAATTATGCATGCCGGTAGCAGGTAAATGGAAGGTTACTGGCAATGTCCGTGTTACGGGAAATTTGATTAATCGGGCATTATTGATATGGACCGGTCATTATGAATAATGACCAAGAGCATCGGCCAAATTGATAAAATCGTACTTTGGCCGGCCCAAATTAATAAAATGCCTAATGCCTATCGCTCATTTGATAAATCGGGACGTAAGATGGCGTGAATGTATCACTTAAACCGGGTGGTATAAATAATTCTATTACATTGACCAAGACACAGTGGTCATTAATCATACTGATCGGGAAAAGTGATTAGTCTTGCAGTTTTTACTACATTGACCATTTGATGCGGCGATTATTAATACAGACCGGCCATTATTCGTAATGACTGGGCTTATCAAAATGCCCGTAACGTTGTTAGTAAAGGCATGCTGGTAACGAACGTGTGTTAAGACCTTTCTATTTCTTTAATATGAACTATGCACCTATGTTGCAATTAAAGATTTCTAGCTAGCACCAACACTAGCTTTTATGTTTCTCATCTTAGCCTTTTTATGAACTTGTTTTATTATTATTTTTTTACATAATAGACGAGGGCCAAACAAGTACACGCGCACTTGGGAGGATGTGGACGCTTACAGACGACAGGCCAACGCTCCAACGCCGAATAGGAAACCACCCAACCCTGAGGACTTCCCGGAACTCGAAGCCAGCAATAGAAGCAGGTATGTTAGGCAACAATATAAAAAATATGTAGCTATGATAAAGGTCAAAATTCCGTCTTGTATCTATTATGGCGCTGATTACTTCCAGGCTACTGAGCCTGGAAGTAGTTTATATTATGTAAATGGCCGTTGATATTATAATTCGCACAGTACAATAAATACAGTAGCAGTGGTTAGTTAGCGTCGTTCGTTCAAATTCTCTAAAATCCTACAAAAATGCCTTATTGTGCTGATATGGAGTGCAAAAATAATAGTCGCACTAAAAATATTAACGGTGGTGATATTTCATATGATCGGAAAGTTTTATATTAGTAAATTTTCATTTTTCTGTTTATCGAAATACTTTTTTTGTTAAAAGACGAAAGTAAAGCTTATACCCTTGCAATATAATCGCCTTTTTTTTGGAGGACTAAATTAATAACTCCAATTTGTCGTCGTTCAGCAATAAACCGCTAGATGGCAGCACATTGTTAGAAATGTCAATATAATATCAAAACGTCGTAACTTGTATAATTGGTATTGATGTTATTGAACTTTCAACGATATGCCAACAGGGTAAAGTTTAAATTATACTAACAATCTACGATTTGTTATTTCTTTTTAAATTTGAAACTATGACCATACAATGTCAAGATTTTGTAGAGTAGTTTCAAATTAAGAGTGTGTGAGTTTTGGCGACATCGGTTCTGATAGTAATCGAGGCTTAAGACACTTCCAATGTTTTTTTCTTCTGTGATAATTCCTCTTTAATAAGAAATATGAAAAATCAGTTTTTTCCTTGTAATATTATTCAAATGTTGATCGTGAGCCAAAATCATTTTCTGAACTTTGTCAATAGATGGCGTAGTGTGCGTAGTGTGTTTTGCTAGTATGGGTAGATGGCATTAATCCTAAACAAAATAAAAGAATTACCCTTAAAAATCTACTTGATTTATTTGTTATAGTATAGTATAGCGTGTAGTAAAAATTGTCTCCGTGGCCGAACGGTTACCACAAATGTTTAACCAAACTGTACTTTGAAAAAACAATAACAAAATCCAGTTATTTTGCTACCTTCTCGTTTTACCATGTAGTCTATTTAACGATGTAGTCATTTCGATATCTAGTCGTTTTGCTACCCAGTCATTGTAAATTATAATCTTTTTATAGAGGGTTTTGCGATCTAGTCCTTACACTGGTCCTGATCACTGATACTGAGTCGGTATCATAATGACTATACCTTCATAGATAGAGTAGATTGTTTACATTTAGTTAAGTACCTAAACAAATGAACTATAGAAACCATTAGGTTTTTCTTGTAAAAACAAATTTCACATAGTCAATTGTTTAGTTGTCACAATTGACCATAAATATTATTTTTTTATGTAGATCGACTCAGTTTCTTGTTAGGATCATTTCATTGTATCGGAAGAAAAAAATCAGGACGGACGGCAGAAGTTGGTCAAATGTTATAAAATGTGCCAGACGCTATGCCTACTAAGCCACAGAACGGACCAGCGGACCTTAGGAATTTTTCTATGAGCTTGTTGCAGATCTTGCTTTTTGGTTTCTAACGAATTTTTATGTAGCGTCATCTTTGAAAAATTTGTCGGTTCGAAATTTTTTTTTATAAATAACGCACACACTCAACATAGCCCCGCACTAGGGAAACCCTGTGTCGCGGGTGCCATGGACACACACATAGACAACCACAAATTACACCCAAACTCACGAGAGAAATAAATGTAGGCCATACAAACATTTCTCCCGGCCCGGGAATCGAACCTGGGACCTCTGCGTGGCAGTCCGGCATGGTAACCGTTCGGCCACGGAGGCAGTTCGAATCCGCCCGGATCGAAGGATTTTTTTCTAAATGTTCGGCCTTTGTTATTGATAATTATATTTTTTTTTTCTTTTAGTAAGAAACGCGCTCCACGACCCCGTTCAAAATCCCAGCCATCCTCCATCGACTCCTCGGACCAAGGCTCTCAGCTGCGTCGCAATGCGTCTGTCAAAGCGACTAAAAACAAACAGCCGCCGCCGCGACAAAACATCGGCAATAAAAACGCGCCCAGAAGAGATCAGAGGAGAGATGTCAAAAAAGACGTTAAGGAGAAAATGCCGCCGATTGAAAATCTTACTATTACTTCTAGTACTTTAAATAATAGGTAAGTTTTTAATATCTAATATTGTATTATTTTAGTATTTAGTAGAGCTGCTTGTGAACGAGATCGTCCAGGGAAGTACTTCCACCTTACCTATTTCTGCCGTTAAGCAAAGTAAAAGGGTAACAAGTTTTGAATGCTCCAATGGCGGGCTTTACACGGGAAGAGAAAGGGAACACAATCGCGCACTCCAACACGCGCCAGTTTCACGCGGTCTATTCTGCCCTATTAGCCTTTACATGGACGCTCTTTCCGTAGGAACAAAAACAAACACGAGCCATCGCGCGTGAAAGAACGCTTAAAAAATTCCAAACAGGTAATCGCGCACGATTACGCGTGCAGGCTTTCCCGTGCGCGATTCTGTACGCTCCTGATCACGCGATACGGTGACTGTGTAAAGAAAGGGGGCTAATGAGCTCTATTTTACACAAAAAATTAAACATGTTTCTTTGTGTATGATACACCGTTCTTTTTCGTTTTTTTCCGTTTTTTTAGGAATATTCATCGAGTATACCGGGTGGAAATTTGTAATGACACCTGGAGGGAAAGTACTCTAAATACTGGAGATAGAAATTTTTACTTAAAGGAAACATTCCTTTATTTTTTAAAAGAAGTAAAACTGCATGCATAGATTTTCGAAAAATTTCTAGCAACACGCGGGAATAGTACCCGCTTTAATCTGAAAAAAATGCACCCTGCACTTTTATTGCGCCGATCGATACGGTTAATTATAAGAATGAAATCTCTCTCACAAAATTAATTAAATGAAAAACAAAAAACCATGAAATCTTAACATATTTTAATAAAACGAAAAAAATGGTAATGTAACTAATTAGTTGCTCGAAATGAGCTCCATTTTCTTGGATACACAAATTTAATCTTTTAACGAATTCATTTTGAGTAACTTTTAATAACGTGTTGTGATGAATTGTATTACAAATCGTACTCTGAACCTCAGCCTTCAATCAGTAATGATTTGGCAGAATAGTTTTTAAAACAAATTAAATGACATTTCGTCTCTATTTCAGATTATATACTCGATGGGAATATTACAAAAAACCTCCGCTAATTTAGTGTTTTCTTTGTAATAAGCATCCAAAATTTCCTGAAATTATAACGGTTTTGTTATAAATCGGTTTTCGCTATAATGAAAATTAGATTTTACGTTTAGTTGGAATTTCCAAATAGAAAATATCGATACATTTCTTATAGCTGTGACTAACAAACAGAGACTCAGTTATATTTTCATATTTATAATATTTGTATGTATAGGTATATCTGCACAACTCTTTATTATCTATTTAGTGACTTTTCCAGGGAAGGTTCGCGTTTTAGTTTATTTACATTAAAAAAATAGGTGCGTCTAAATAATGCCTATTCACTCCTCTTGAAAAGGCCAAAGTCATCATGACGGAACAAACCAACGTAAGGATAGTGGAAGGAAAAGGAATTATTGAACGATTCAAAATTTTTAGAAATCATGTTTTCACACCGTATACTAATCAGTGGATATCCTCAATTTTACTATATATTTTTTCCAAAATGATTGATTCAATACTTTCACTGTTATGCGGATTCAACCAAAGCCATTTGAGGTTGCAACAACTCTTAAATAGGTTAACTTCGGACATTTTTTGTGTGGTTTCTGTATTAGACCTGTCGTCAATTTGTTTGTAGGTCAATAACTATTAGCAAACATGAATTTTACTCCATTTGCAAAAGATTGAAATAGGCATTGACTTACAATTATATGGACGTCGGGTCCGCGCTAAAAAGTATCCGAACTTATATTTAAAATCGTATACAGAGCGTCATTCACGCTTTAGTCTTCGTTTGTTCGACTGACAGCGAAGTAAGCAAAATTAGACAGTACTGCGATAACATTACAATTTAAATTCAACGTTTTAGCTTTTTCATATTCCTTTACATGTCACTACGTTTAAATAGGTTGACTTGGGACATTTTTTTCGTGGTTTTTGTATTAGACCCGTCGTCCATTTATTTGTAAGTCAATGGAAATAGGGGTATATTTATTAGGCAATGATTTTATTGAAAATTCTCCCTATTAGTATTCTAGAGTTGATAATTTATTGTTATTTCTCATTTCTAGTGCAAGCCAACCACAACGCAAAGTGAACGCGGCTGTAGCCCAACAAAGACCAGTGCCTACAGAACAGGGGAAAAAGAAACCTCCGCCACCTCAAGCACAGGTCTGAACACAATATATGAACCATCAAAAGCTTTCTTTAGTAGCAGTAGAACTTCTCGTGATAGGGTTCGTCCAGTGAAGTACAATCACGTTACCTATTTCTACCACCAAGCAGTAACGTGAGCAATACTGTTTTCTGGCTTTGAAGGGTTAAGGGTGCTGGTGAAATTACAGGCACATGGGACTTGTCAACTTATGTCTCAGGGTGACGGGCGCAGTGGCACAGTGCCCCTCATATCTTTGCGATTTAAAGTTCTAAAGCTCTGAGTTCCATTGCGACTGTTATACCTTACCACCAGGTGCACGACTTGTTCATCCCGTCACTTAATATTATAAAAAAAGTGAAAATTGCGAATTGGACCAGCATCGTGATGCCTTAATAGAAGTTTTTCACCTATGTATTACCTCCTTTCAGCAACCACAACAGCAAAACAATGCAGCTCCTAACAAGTCGCCACCTCTAGAGCAGGCACCTCAAACGCAACAGCAGAAACCACCACCTCAAAATCAACCACCCGGCGAGCAGCGCGGTGGCAGCAAGCGCTACAGTAGTTTACGTCAACGACCGCTCGACACATATTCGCCGCAGCAACAGCAACAGCCACCGCCGCAACAACCTCAACAGCAGCATCGATATCATAGCGGTAAGTGACAGCATCAAACAAGTTGTGACTCTCCTTCGTGACTACGATAGTGGGATGACTATCCCACCTTTTTATCGTCTCTTTTTATCGTCTTTACAGGTTCCTAGCCACTTAATTTGAAAATTTTGAATCGTTCAATAATTCCTTTTCCTTCCACTATCCTTACGTTGGTTTGTTCCGTCATGATGACTTGGGCCTTTTCAAGACGGGTGTGAATAGGCATTATTTAGGTGCACCTATTTTTTTAATGAAAATAAACTAAAACGCGAACCTTACGTGGTACATACAAATGTTGATATTAATTGAAATTTGTGTGGGTTTTTTGCGCAGAATACACGGGAGGTGCGCCGGCGCAGCATCAGGGCAGCCCGGCGCCGCAGATGCACCCTCAGCAGATGATGCAGCAGGTACACGATACTTTCATTTATATGATTACTTTTATTTAGTTTTAAGCGTTACGAAACCAACCTAAACATATTTTTGGTATTGTTTGTAAATATAAAATAAAACGGACTTAATTTGAAATTCTAATTGAAAAATTGAAATTCAAACTCAACATTGGAGCTGAATCGGATATCCGGCAACTATCCTGTATCCGACTTATTTTTACTATCCGGATATCGGATAGTAGAACAATATCCGGCCGGATACCGGATGTTTTAAACTGAGAAAAATTAGTAATCAGTACGCCAAATAAATTTATTTATTGATTAAAGATCATAGTAAAAGGATAAACAGCAACTACAGGATCGTTGACAATCTGTTTATTAGTTGAAACTGAAAGAACTATGAAGTTAGATAACGTTATCTGTAAATTTAGTACTCAATTTTCAATAAAGGTAAATTATGATGGATGAAGTTGTTTTGCATTAAGCGGTAAAAGTTGGTTCTATTTATTTTCATAAATGAGATCAGGTACAGAGGACAATTTTTCACTGTAAACTCTTCTAACTTTGTAAAAATTTTATATGCTGCCTGACGACCAAATGAAGGGATCACGATCTATTTGAACCATCTTCAAATACAATGTGTAACATATCTGTAGTATTGAAATGTGCAAATTCAATTTTTTTTGGCAAATCTGGTATCAAGGCTTAGAAATTGTTAGATCACAAACAAATTAACGAAATTAAATTGAAACAAAATAGTAACGGGCGTATCAAGTGCTGGGCTTATACTAGAAATTTTAATATAGCCAGAGATTGCTATGCTAGAAAAATTACAATTAAGGTACATGGGACTTGTCAACTTATGTCTCAGGGTGACGGGCGCAGTGCCAATGCCTCTCAGATCTTTGCGATTTAAAGCTCAGAGTGGCACCGCAACTGGTATGGACAATTTTTAAAAACATTTTTCTGTTATGTATTTGTTTGTATTATCGAATAAATTAATAGTTTTTATAAAAACCAAGTGAACACAACAAAGCATCTCGTCAATATGAAAGTGCAATCGTTCACTAATCAATTAATCAATCACGGAGATGAGCGCTGTAAACCGGTCGCAACATGTTTACGGCAGCGGGTCAGGTATCCGGCGGCCGGATATCCGGCTATCGGCCTAGGTGTTCGCCGAATATCCGGTATCCGGCCAAATCACTATCCGTTTCACCTCTACTAAACATACACAGAGCATGCACAAGCAAAAGATAAATCAGAGTTACTTTCGCATTTATTAGTTTGGACAACATTCTTTCAGAGTCACCGTAGCGCCCCAGTGATTGCCCAACAGCACGGACCCTCACCGCCTCACCAGCAGCTACCGCCGCAGCAACTACAGCAACAGCAACTACCGCAACCGCAACTACCGCAACAGCAGTTACCGCAGCAACAGTTACCACAACAGCAATTGCAGCAACAGCAACTACCTCAGCAACATTCGCAACAGGTAAACTTAATCCTGATTTTACCATAACCTTAAAACAATGGAGTAAATTGCGGTCTTATATAATTTGTATTACGACTGATGTGTTAAAATGATATATTTATGCTCTTCCGTTTTGAAGACGTTTGATCACTGCATAATGAGGGTTCTTAAACTCGAGTACAGAGTTTATAATAGGTACGGGATTTTAAGACCGAATCATGTAATGATTGCATCCAATACTTTTTCTAAGAGTAAATAAAATAATGAAACGGAACCAATATTTAATGTATATCTTGTTAACAATCCATGACAACAAACGCAATTTTTTTATAAACAAATTTTAATCCATTTATTAGGGTAGGCGAAGGCTCCACCGTACAGCCACTTCATATATTTAGACGAAAGCTAAACAAATACTACAAAACAATAAACCTATATTTTAACTAATATTTTTTTTTTTAAGTTTGACTAGCGTCCTAATTGGTATTTTACTTTCACAGTAGAAGCGATTAAAGCAAAATTTCAGAGGTATAGCTACTCTTTTCTACACACTTAGTGCTAACAATGATTAAACAGAAACCAACACTGTCAAACCAGAAACAGAATCTTTTGAAAATTTGTTACATAGTATTACCAAGATATATTTATCAAGATAATTATGATATTTATCCCTTCGAACCATGTTATGAATACATGATCAAGCAAATCCAATATGCAGTTAATCTCGTCTCTATTTAAATTCGTAATAGTTTACCGCATGTGTACTGGTACTGTACATTCTCGTCTGTTAGATTGAGCTGATTTATTCTAATTCTTGTGTATTTCTTTGATCCAGGTGCGGCTAGGCATGATGGAGCAACAACCGCTGGTACCTCATTCCCATCATTCTATTCACAACATGCCACAGCCTCATACTATGGGTAAGATCTAGCAGTGTGTATGTAGTGTAAAAATATTTACAGGCGTTAACTGTTGTCAATTTTGTCGACATAAACACCCCCATATCAGGTTCGTCTTGTCACTCAAAATACAGCCAAGTACTTCATTTTTTTGTTAAGAAAATTACCCTTGCCTACTTAAATGCCTGCAGGATGTGTTCACAGACGCAGGCAAAATTTTAGTGGCATTTGTAAGCTACGAACATGAAATAGCGTAAGCATTTATTTTAATAGTTTTTGATCATATCAAATATTGTTTCAGAGGCGTTAATATATTAAACAAAAAATGCACAAATCGACTACGTAAAGTATAGTATGTCGAAATTGCCAAGTTTACAGGGGAGCGTTAAGTTTTGAATTCACTGAATAACACGTGACTTTTGCATAGAAATGCTAAAATTACATTGTAAAATGATAAAATAAATTGTGATTGTTCGTCTAACCGATATCTAGAATTTTATAACACTGGAGTGTGAGTTTTGCCCATTTCAGTGAAATCAAACCTTTAAAACGCTTCCCTGTAAACTTGGCAATTTCAACATACGATATTTTACGTAGGATGGGTCGAAATACGAAATAAATAAATTATAGAAAAATTGTAATCTCATACATTTTCTACTCGTTCAATCAAAATTTTGATTGATGCTGCAAATTAGTTTAATAGTTATATTTTATCCAAGTTTCAGGGCAGTTACCGCCTGGCCAACCTTATGCGCCGCCTGCAATGATGCCTGCGCAATATATGCAGGTAAATATCTGGTTATATGTTACTGATACAAGGATTGGACAATACAAAGAAAAATTCCATGATTTGATTGGCTCGAACTTACTGATTTGATTGGCTAACAACTCCCATATCTTTTCTACATAAGTTTTGATTATAGTGACCCTCCCTATCGATCTTTTGGTTATGCGAGAAGGACACTATAACCTTTGCGCGCGCAGGTTGTGGCTCTAAATCAGCCAGTATACAGGGTTCTGACAGACCGTTGTCACTGACATCTTCAGGTTCGCAAGAGGCTAATGCCTCGGGTGCACGTGCAGCACCCTCCCTATTTTCCAGATACATACCGGAGTTGTAAGCACGATCAGTCCCTGTTGCGCATTGCACAATTAACGTTTGCCTTAAGAGTCAACTAACGTTGATTCTAAAGTCGAAACAAGACTGTGACTCGCGTGTGTCTGAAGACTGTGTTTCGTATGTTGACGATGAAGGCAAAATATTAAATGATTAATTTTAATGCATTTCTAACCTTGCAGCAGGGCGGCAGCGGTGCGGTATTCGGCGGTGCCGCCATGTATGCGCAGCCGCCGGCGCCTTATCCACATCAGCTGTACCAGCATCATAATTACGTAAGTTCTCTTTTTGAGAATTTTCTATTGTTTATTTTTGAATCGATATATACAGATATATCTATGGGTGACTTGAGTCAGAAAAAAATATTTGAAAAAAAAGTCGTTCAATCCAAACAAGTACGTGATGGTTGTTGTGCGTGTAAACAGTTCATTGTTTATACATATGAATAAACAATGATAAAAAAAATATTTATGTAAATTAATTCCTTTTTATTATTAGTTAAAATATTTTTTATAAATGAAAAGCGTCAGCTTGTCTTTAAGACTGATGTGTGGTGATATATCATTACGTAATATTTTCGTGTGTAAATCCCTCCCAAGTAAAGAGCACTGGTGGCTCAATGTTAGAACGGTAGCTTGTAATTGAGATGGTCGACAGGTCGAATCTCTGTGAAGACATGTACCTATAACTTTAATTTGAGACTGAAAATCAGTGCTGGGAACGTATTGCGTTTTCCAGCAAATGCTGAGTTTGTGACCCTTTTGTTACCGCGTCTGGCGCCACACAAAGTATCTCTATTTCAACAGTTCTTCTTATTATTTGTGTGAATAGTTGGTGTTTCATTTTAATCAAATTTTTTGGTATATATATATTTTTTGCTTTGTTTGTGTTTTTGTTTTCTTTTGTGGTGAAGAAATGAATGTATTTTCTTGTCTTTTTCTATGTTAGTTTAGGGCTTATTTGGGCTAGTGAAGGGGCATGAGACGGGTTGTTGACCTTATGTTCGGGTGTTGCGCAGGCGACACAGGCGGGCGGCGTTACGTACTACAGCTGCGCGGAGCAGGACGTGGCCGTGGCGGCCCCCACCACCGCCCCCCGCCAGCCGCGCCGCCCCACCGCCGCCATCCCCATCGTACGGCCGCACCACGCGCACCTGCCGCAGGACAGGTCTCCATATCTCTATTATTCTCAACACCTGTTCACCCCCGATGCCAGCTGACATTATAATTAGGGGCTGTCTGAGGCTAAAATGAGTAGGCATTTTTAGACAGACTCTTACCGTCGTTTGTTACATCGTCGCTTAACTTCAGGTGAAATTGCAGCGAAGCGTGCGTTTATTTTTCACAAAAAAAACTTCTTAGTCAAGATGTTACTCAGCTATCCAAAGCGGCCGTTTCCTCAATCTCCTACTGGTAGGAGCACGAGGACTAATGTGTCCTTACGCTCCTACTGGTAGGACCAAAAGGATAAATATGTCCTCGTGCTCGTACTAATGTACTGTCAGTTATATTTATATCTAATTACAATTAAACGATTTAAAAAAAATACGATTACTTTCAGACCTAGAAACTGCGAGGCTGATTTTCTTTAGTTACTTCCATAGTTTATGACATATGGCATTTTGCTTTGGGGCTCTTGCCGAAAAAGAAGAATTTTTATACCGCGAACACGTGCTGTTAGGACAATTTACAATCTGGGCTCCTGGGGGCCTACCATAACCGTTCCAAAAACAATCTTATTTCAATGTAAGCTTATTATAATATTACTCATATTCGTACCATGACGAACATGTCAGCCTAGTAACGTATTATTGCTAAAGTAATTGAAAGAACGAATGTCTCAAATCTTTGTTTTTGGTATTTAACGACTTGCTCCATATGCACACTTGTATTAACCTTAAAAAAATGTAAGTAATAACAAATTGTATGCCCTGAAAATTTGTTTTCCGTCAATTGCGGCCATCAGTCATGTGTGGGATACTGTACTATTAACGTGTAATAATGATATTTTTTGTAGGCCAGCAAATTCATCTGAAAAGGACAATATTGACCGAATCGTGGAAAACATGTTCGTGAGGAAGCCTTGGCCAGCGACACACGGGGCTGGTAAGTTACTCGTTTTACATCTTATCTTATGTTTTCATTTCAATTGTTATTTTTCTTTGCCTTTATGTTTCTGTAGGTGAAAGGTAAAGTGCCTTAGGACCATATTTTGGAATTAAGATGTTTTTACAAACACTGCTTTGGGAATGTTAAAAACATCGAGTATATAACCAGAAATAGAGATGAAATAAGGGCCATACATTCCTGGTAACTTATCAGTGATACATCACTTATAAATATCAACTCTCATTTGCACTGAAATTACAAATTAGAAAACTGAAATAATACAGAGCCAACAATTGACCTGGTACGTCTCCGTATATTCCAAGAATATTCTGTATTTATTGTAATAGAGAAAATATCTCTAACAATGGCGTGCTGTTCCATTCGGTGGTGTGGGGAAATTCAAATTTTATCGGTAATTAAATATGTAATTTTGCAATTTTGGTCAATTATAGCAAAGCTCAAGTTAACTAGTCGATTTGAAGTGAAACAATTGACGACACCCGTCAATTGTTTCGAACTCGGGCTGGCCAATCGGAGCGCAGTTGTCACAGTAATGATATGGCAGAATAGTTTTCAAATAAATTAAATAACATTTCGTTTCTATTTCTGGTTATATATTCGATGGTTAAAAATCACGCAATGGTAACAGACCTTCAGTCCTGTTACGACAACAGGCCTGTTTTTTATTTAACATATTTTATTCGACCTTAAGATTAATTTTATGCGCCTATACTAAACACTAACTAGTATGATCCCTGTGACACTTCATTTGACGTTTATCATAGGGATGAGATAAAGTCGATAGATTTTTAGTGTATTCGATTTTTGGTTCTCTCTTAGAGCGGCGCTATGCAGTCGCTAATCGTCTATCTTTACACATGCGCGAGATTTTAAGCAGCGAAGCAAGTGCGCGACTGCATCTATACAAATGCACGATTGTATCACTACACTTGAGATTTACAGGCGATTGCGTCGATGCAATTGCGCGTTTGTATCGATGCAATCACGAGCTTGTATCGATGCAGTCGCGCGTTTGCGTCGCTGCTTGAAGTCGCCGTGGTAACCATTCTTATAGTTTTATATTCCTCACGTATACTGAACGATATGTGTAAAGTGTTTTGTTATTATAATGAAAGCGTTAAATATATACAAATATAATTCAAATGCTATTTCAATTGAGTAAATACTCAATACCTATATATTAATGATATAATAAATGTTTTTTGAAATTTACTAAATAGTAAATTTCAAAAAGCATTTATTATATCATTAATTTATAGGCTTAAAAAGTAAGAAAACTTTATATCGATATAACTCATCTCTAGCAAATGCAGCGTAATGAAGTAACCTTTGCAATTTTTTTTGCAATTGCTGCAAAAAATTAAAGAATTTTTGAAAAAATAAATGTCACGTATAAACAACATTGATGTGGTGTCATTTTTTATTTAATTCAATGTATTTGCTTAAACAAAAGCTATTCCTTTGTCTAATATACATATTTTTTAAATCTTAAAAATTATTTATGAAATACGTAAATTAGTGCACGTCGTTACAAGGTTACATTTATGGTGTAAATTAAAAAGAAAGAAAGAAGAAGAAAACAGTTTATTACACGCATATAAACAAAACAAAAGAGGAACAATAATAATAATAATAAAACTTCAAAATTAATCTTTTAGGCCCTGGGAGAGGCGAGAGTCTAAAATAAATTATGATTATAATAATAACAAAAAAAATATTATGAAATGTCACAGGGATCATCCTAGATTGTTTTTAGTATAATTAACCTTTCTACTGGGAATGAATTCAGCTGACCCGAATTTCCGCTTGCCTTGCCCCACACTAGTATCTTTCGAGTATCAGCGTCTTGCCAACGTACGCACAGTGTCAACACTACGTCGGAACAACGTCAGTGAGCGACTGCTCACTGTACCCAGCGTCGTGTGGACGTTGTGCGTGCGTTGGCAAGACGCTAGTGTGGGGGGTCTCTAATGTTGCCGACGACGTAACGCGTCTCAAGCGTGGACTTAGTGCCGAGGCACATTGGCTCAATGGTCCCCAATTCCTACTTACTGAGGATTGGCCAGCTTAGCCAGCTACTTTTCTTTAAAAAGTTCTGTAGTGAAAACTAGTAAGTGACACTAAAGGTTCTTTACTTCTTTACCTATAGATTTGTTTCTTTCTTTAACATTAAATCCGTAAAAAAAAACGTTTCCAATGTCTGCTTCAGTGGCCAAATGGTTATTAAACCTTTCTGCCACGCCGAGGTCCCGGGTTTGATTCCCGGGCCGGGAGAAATGTTTGTATGGCCTTCATTTATTTCTCTCATGAGTTTGGGTGTAATATGTGGTTTTCTATGTGTGTTTCCATTCACGACACAGGGTTTTCCTAGTGCGGAGCTAAAAAATGGAGTGTGGTAATCACAAAAACCCATAATCTCGATATTTATTGCATAATGCTCTGGCCACATAGAGGCGGCCGTGGTAGCGTTCCGGACGCGGGAATTTTTGTAATGTACGAGTTCATATGAACCCTTACACACACCGAAATAGAGGCGACGGTGGCCGCTTTTGTGCGGCCTGAGCATTATTGTTTAATCTGTTTCCAGTTAGTTAACACAAATGTCCTTTAACTAATCCTCTCTATATCCTAATGCCTTCATTCTAATTTCCTAATGAAGATCTCCTGTGGGCCCGCCTATCGTTCCAAGCCTGGTTGAATTCTCGCTTGAACAGTAGCAACTAAAAATAACAACCACGAAGACATTTTTGCAAGAATTAAGATAATTTCTTAGGAAGAAGTCCTGTTTAAGTTATAACTTTTATTTTTATGTTAGTTCGCTTTTCAATATTAATGTAGTTATCTAATGTAGATAGTATATGTGTGCTGAATTGCACAAACCAGCTTTATTTCAATCAGGGTTCGAAATTATTCAAAATATTTAAGTTCCTTGATAATTATTATAAGTAATTGTTATGATAATTATACGATAGAATATTTTTATTTTTTTTATCAAAATTGACAAATGGAGAGAAAACTAAATACACGTGAAGAAGAATGTTTGGGAAAACTATTTGGTCTGTTAATTTATTTTTGATATTGATATTTGACGATACGTCTCGGGTACAAACACATAGTACGACATTGCTAGGGATACTTGTGTTGTGTGCGTAGGAAGCTGCAGGACAGGAGAGACTCTTCAGTGAAGTGATTTATTTGACGTGCAATGAGGATATTTAATGCGAATCTTTTACATTTACTAAATTTGAAATACAATATGTCGACCGAAATATAATTGTGTGATGAAATGAACGATCGATGTGGTGTCGTCGATGAAAGATGAGAAAGTGCTTCCGGATTGTTTGAAACGACCGACCACGTCACCCGTCACGTCGCATCCGGCGTTGCTCGCTGCGTCCCCCCGCGGAGAGTAGAGAAATGTTCTTGTGGTGTCATCTTTGAATACACTTCTCTCGCCGCCATCAGGTGGCTTTGAAAACATAAATACAATTCATTTTATGATTATCAAGATAATCACTCTTTTTCTTCTTGGCGTGTCGACTCTGACGTTTATATTTGTGATGACCAGGACTGAGATAGCATTATCAGTGGCGTTGTACAGACCCTCGCGTGTGCAGGTGTAGGGACACTCAGGGAGGACAAAAGATGTGCCATTGTCTGGAGAGAGACACCACACGGACATGCGCTCTCCGAGCTGTAACCCCACCCGTGCATGCACTCCTTGCTTCGGCCGACTTGGGTCCTCAGCCTATTTAGGGACTTCCAAGTTTGCCAAGGTATATCATGCCCAGGAGGGAGGTGTTCCGACAGCGGGATGAGTGACACCTTGGGGTATCTCTCCTTCCAGAGACATATTCGGGCCTGCTCAGTTTCCCCGACCAGAGGGACTTATACTTCTTTAATGATTACCTTTGGATTACCGGCACGTGATGGTGTAATGGATGCCGCGGGTCATTCTCTTTTTAAGCGTTCCAGGAAGCTAGCCACGTCTCTACGGATATCCGGAGGGGCAACACCAGCCAACGGGGACAGGGGTTGGATTCGGACAGCCAGTAATATTTCGACATGTGTCATTTAGTGCTGTATTCACCAGGTGCGTGTGTGTTAAACGACTCCAGACTGGGCTGGCGTATTCGTCAGCCGAAAAGGGAAGGGCTAGTCCGGTCGTTCGCAAAGTTTGTGGCGGAGCTCCCCACTTACAAGATATAAGGCGGCGCAGGAGGTTGTTCCGAGTGGTCACTTTCTGCTTGGTGTTAACGCAGTGCTGTTTATAGGTTAAGGCTCTATCCAAGGTAATACCGAGGTATTTTGGAGTGGAGCAGGGGGCAATCGGAACATCCCTCCATCATTGTCATAATTATCAAAAGAATAATCTATCATAAACTTCGAACCCTGATTTTAATAGTCTATTAAGGGTGAACCCTACTTTACAGCACGCTTCAGTATAGCGTCTGTTTTATATGAAGTATCGTCAGCACGCCTAAAAATTTCGTGCTGATGAAATCTTATACAAATTAGGCGTTTTGTATAGACGCGGTGCTAAAGCGTGCTGACGAGTGAAGTCCAACGCGTGACTAACGCGCTGCTTTTACTTCGATACAATAAAAACAGTACTGTGGATAATGGCATGATTAAAAAAGTTCTTTTTTGCAACCGGCTGAGATATATAGACCGTGTATTTGTTGTCAAAATCTATTTTCTTAAATAAACAATTAAACTTTTTAACCGACTTTTCTGCTGACTACTGACTGAATTCTACTGTATGTTTTTTTGTATGTAAGTATGTTACGCGATAACTCCGTGTGAACAAAAAACATTTGTGAACCGATTTTGTTGATTCTTTTTTGTTGGAATGAGGTCCCAGGTGTCCAATTTTAATTTGAAATAAAATTTGAATAATATTCCACCTCTAAGGGTGGAAAACTAGGGGTTGAATGACGTTTTTAGTACTCAGTAAAATATAAATTTCAACTTTTTAACCATTAACGAAAGTTACTCTACATAAAAGTAATAAATTATGTACAGATAGAAACTGAACCTAGTTTAAAAAGTGTAACTAGAGCAACAAATGACGATAATATTGCATATGTTGTTCATACTTTTTATTAAAAAAAAGAAAAGTAGTTGTATTTTAATTGTCGTTTTATCTATTACAAAATAACTTTAAAAAATGCATTTATTTAAATTATTATTTTGCCATTAAATATAGCGGACATTTTTGTTATTTTGTAATTATCTAAAAATACTTAAAAGCAATGCATTGCCGGTAAAATTAAACACTAAACGTATCTCGGAAGATAGAATTTACATTTAATTTTTGTCCGGTGCATCCGATGCAGTGTAAATATTACCTTATCGCTTTGCGATTGGGCCGAATTGCCTACAACGATTAAATTGTAATTAAAACGATGGATTGTAGAATACAGTACTATTTGTTTTACATATGTATTGTAGTTTCAGTTAAATTTTAAGTACAATATCTAAGACCTATTCATCTCTTGCAGACGCATCGAAAGAGAAATCTGAAACACGAAACTCGCAAGAACCTCAAAGCAAAGAATCATCACAACCCAACAGCTTGACATCGAGTTCTATATCCACTGATTCCAAACCATCTGAGATTGAAAAAGAATCAAAAGAAGAATCTAAAGAACAAAAAGAGAACAGCGTCGAAAAAGAATTAAAAGAGAAAGAGTTCAAAGAGAAAGAATTAAAAGAAGTAGAATTAAAAGAAAAAGAGTTAAATGAAAGAGAATTAAATGAAAAAGAAAGTAAAGAAAATGAGCAAAGTGTAGAACAAGAAAGTATATCGACAGATGCCTGACTGGTAAGAATATACCTGTACCAAAGAAGTCAGACGAAATATTTTACGAGGTAAACGTTCTTTTTTATAATATAAAAAATGATTGTGGTTTGCATTTTTTTGTGGTAATTTCAATACTGTTTTTTAATTATTTATTCTTGACAAATAGAGTAGCCATCTTGTTTATTGAAGACCGCGGCCATTTTGTATTTTTACAAATTGTGTTAGTTTAAATAATGCGAAAGAACTCTATGGCATTGATTTTTCTTCTTTCCGACTTAGTTACTATGCCGGTCATACCATGGTTTTTCTGTCTACCTTTTGACAAAGTTTTCTTTGCATTAAACTTTAAAAAAGAAGCATTATAGGACAGAAGATCGAAGAAAAGTTCCCTTCGCCACCAACTGACTGGTTCCCTGAACGCTATAACTTGGGTCTTTTCCATCCGATGCTTTTTGAGATGAAATGCGTGCAAAGTTTTTTGTTTTCAAAGTTATGGCGTTAGAGGTTAGGTGATTACTCCACCGACACGAACCTAGCTCTTAAATAGCTTTGTCGTTGTCTTTGAAAAATCATTGCAGAATACCAGATAATCTCACAAGTAGTGGTCGGATATTGGGTTGGTTTTTGGATTGGATATCCGGATGGTTTCGGACATAAACTTCCTCTGTGGCCGAACGTTTACCATGCCGGATTGTCACGCAGAGGTCCCAGGTTCGATTACCGGGCCGGGAGAAATATTTGTATGGCCTACATTTAATTCTCCCGTAAGTTTGGGTGTAATTTGTGGTTGTCTATGCGTGTGTCCATGGCACCCGCGACACAGGGTTTCCCTAGTGCGGGGCTATGTTGCATGTGTGAGTTATTATTATTATTCGGATGCCTAAAGTTCACCTTTTCCCGTGAATTGTGGCTTAAAGTATATTGGTCTTTTAAATCCCGGGATGACGTGACATTTTACGATTCTTATATTCTGAAATATTATAGGCTCATGTAAATATTAAAAATCTGATAATGAACGTTTGGACGTTTTCCTTCATTTTTATATTCAATAATTTCGTCTTTAATTATAGGCAAACAAGCAACCGATTACCCGAACACTACTCGTAGGCTGAAGCCCGATGACCTTGATATTCTGCCTTTTGAGGGTAGTGTTGTCATTTAAACTGTATTTTATCGGAGGCTTAAATGGCAACACTGTCAACTTTGTCAGATAATTAGTGTTGCCGTTTACAATGTCTCGGAAAGATATATATATTATCAATGCCAGCACCAACTGGCATATATTTGTACGAATCTTAGAATCAATTTACTTATTCAATCTACTACAGTGGTATTTTTTCATGTCACAAAATATTAAAAGAATATGGGCACAGAAACGCAGTACGTGCTTATATTAAGTTTCAATTGGCTAATGACAAATTAGTGGGAGATATACGACTGGAATTTCGTTCGATCGCAACCCACTGGTTAGGATACTAATGAAATAGATGATGTTACAGATGATATTACAAATTGTATCAATAGCAATAATAAAATACAAGATACTAATTAAATGTCACCCTGGATAACATACCATAAGTTTACAATAGCATAATATTATTTATATCCTCAAAGATATAATTGATCTATTGTAAATGTGCATTTTTTTTAAGTAAACTATTTTTTTTTAATGTTTGATATGTTAATAATTTGATATATTATTAACTGTTCCATCTATATTAGTTATCTACAGACACACTGTAAATGAACTGCATTCTTCATAATTATGTTTAAGCGTACTAAAGTCTGTTTCAATCCATTTTGAACAAAAAGTAAACAAAACTGTTTGGTTAAAATTCTAAAGCAATCACTCCATAAATCGAGTAAGTAACACTTTCACGTGTATTTCGAAGATTTCAATTTTGATACCTTATCACTTTTTCCAACAATATTCATTTGATTAGCATCGTAAAGTCGTATTTGAAAAATGGTAGTCCAAAAGTGTGGTTATTTTTCAACTATACGACCATGACCATCTATTCAATTAAAGTTTTTGTAATCGACGAATATTTCAATCGCAATCGAACGTGTATCTAAGTGTAAGGATTATGTAAGGAAAACCGCTAGTTCGACTCGATTTATCAAATCGATTCATTCAATTAATTAATCGATTTGTAGTTGGAATTACAATTGACCATCACTAAACCGTCTATGGTCGGTTAGTGACTTGTTTGTTTACTTATTGTTTCAAAAAGATTGAAACGAAGTATAAATTAATATTTGCTAGTCAAAATAAAGGGCAATCCTTTGCCCAGCAGTGGAACATAATAGGTTAATAATCAAAAATAATATAGGAATTAAAATACTTTTCCGGATTGAAATTGCGTATATTTGTTTTTTCAAACAAACCGACGTTTCGGGCCCTTTATAGGTCCCATGGTCACGGTTGACTCAGTCAATCCGGAAAAATAGTTTCATTTCCTATGTGTAACAATCGCGAAAATCTAAAAACTCGACATCAAAAATGATATTTGGTCCTCTTTTTTCATATACATAGGTCAAATCTTGGTTGCCTCCTCCATTTAGTAGGTTAGGTTAGCATATGAAAAAGCAGAAGCGAATTTGCTTGCGTTTCCGAACATGGTTTCAGGTCAAATTATATTACAATGGTTATAATATTAGTATATAAATATTTTAGTAAATCGAAATTTACAAAATGAGTATCTTAAATTTTATTTTACATACTCATTTGTCTTAGTTTTGAGGCTCAACATGAAATTATCAAAGTTACATACAAATCAAACATTAGCTCATAACAGTTAACATTTACTTACATTGATTTCATTTATTTTAAGTCTCAGAGAAAAAGGACCAATCATTAAAAAAGATGACCGTTCAGATTTTATTGCCTGCTGCTTTTGCAAATTTAAAATGACCATTTAAATTCATGTAGTTTACAATTTTGAAGTAGCAATAACAATAACGCGACAAAAAAATGTGTTGGAGAATTTCGTTCGTATTGCCACCGTCAGAGGCTTTGTGCAGTTTGCGCTACATAATATATTGCCAGGTCGATTAACATTGGCTTTTGGAATGTATTTTCACTCGTACTGCCGTCCACTAACTAAAACGCGGAAATATCCGTTTTAAATAGCAAAAGGTAGAACACAAAATTCTCTTTTAAAAAAAAACAAATTAATATTAGTTTTATTTTATCGGAACTTACCCTAATGATACAAAGATGAAATATCATTACACAATTTCAGTATTCTAAAACTGGGTTTTGGCTTTTTATGACGTCTCAAAATAAATATTTTGTCACTTAACCGCGGTTTTAATTAGCGGACGGCAGCGCATCGATCGAGCGTGCACGCTTAAATTTAGGCGTTTTCTCCGCTTAACTTAAATATTATAACTTTTTTTTATGTATATTATAGGTACCATGTTTGAAAGTAAACATAACACTAAGTGATTTTCTACTTTTAAATATAGAACTTATAATTAACATTAAAAGGATATATATAAGTTAAAAAGCAAAAAATGTATTTTGACTTATAACGACTTACGTGTGAGGTATCGATTTATTTCATTAGTAACAAAATTACATTTGAAATCGTTCAAACTTCTCATTCGTAACATAGATTCTTCAAGAAAAAAGTAAGGTAAACTAGGGGTTACTCATTGTATGTAAATATTGTTCACATTTATCATTTATCAATTACTTTAAAATTATTATAACTGCCTATGGCTTGAGTTAGCTCAACAAATAATTATGGAATTTTTGTCATCCAAATAATTAGATATTTTGTTAAATTAGTGTTGTGTGTACCACACTTTATTTCAAAGAAATGTAATCCACAAACATTACAATCAATCGAAAATTAAATACATGTAAAAATGTATCTAGGATATTTTCAATTTCTATTAGGCTGTGTCCTCTTCTCTATGGGCTGTAAAGGTAGACTATTTAAAAAATATATTAAAAAAAGGTTTAAATAAATGTAAAAAATCGATTTAGTTGTTTTTGTTTTAGAAACTGAATTTGCGCGTAATGACGTTATGGTCAATTTGGCCAAAAATACTCCTTCCTTAAAGGTGAAACCGCACTAGATGGAATTGCATTACAGTGAGCTGCACGTATTGTTTGACATCAAATGATATTTATTAATGCATCGCAAAGCGTCATAGCCGCGCCATTTCTCGGCTGTATTTTTTTTACTATATTATATTGTTCGACTTCACTCAATGTTCTTTAAAATCAAAACATCTTTTACAACCCATCAGAGTTTCATAAAATCAATAATTAAATTTTAAAGTAAATAAATACAATGTATTTTGTCCTACACTATCTTATCCTTATCACGATTAATATATTGTATGATTTGTCTTGTTGAGTTTTCATTATTTACGTCAATTATAGACTGATAAATCTCATTTTTCATAGAAATTAGTTCTCTTCGAATTCAATTCAAAGTTAATATGAAAACAAAAATCCTTAGTCCATTGTGTGCCGTAAGGTGATCTCACATTGACACAAAACTACGCTTTCAAAGCACGCATCGCTCAACAGCACTTGATAGTCACTTTTAATTAAAAAAAAAAGTCTGTGACTGTTAAGCAGATAGACCCGCAAATGTAAAGGTTCCGTTACCTTAAAATGTTAATTTTTGGATTATTTTTTGTCATGGAATTTATTTTGAAAATTGGAAGTCTATGGGAGTGAACATTACACATGCTCTGTAAATTTTATTCTTTTGGTTTACGAAAACACGTTATGTGATATTCAGTTTCTGTGACGAAGAAATTAATGTCTTAATTAAAAATGGAATAAAAAGATATCTCTGTGAAAAAGGAAAACTTGATCTCTACTGATGGATATTTTAAAGATTGTGTCATCGATTGTTCTTTTTTGACGATGTTCTGTTCTTCTCCATGAAATGGTGTCTGTCGAGCTGTAGTATGTCTATTTTCAAATTCGTTTGAAAAATATGAACTAGTTTGAGTCTGTCAAAGACCGGTTTTGTTTTGTAAGATTTTTTCTTACC